TGACCTGCCCCTCTGTTCCTCGTGGTTTTGCTTCTGTTTGAAGAAGCAGGCAGGTTTTTTGAAACTACCCTTTACCTTGGCAGTTGCACAGTGCTCACTGAGTAGCGCAGCTCTGTTTGGGAGCTCTTTTCCGGACCAGCCTGCATCCTTTGGAAAGCAGGTGGAGGAAGGATGCATGTGCATCCGCTGCGCGGAATGGGAGCAGAGCTGGTGACGGGGCTCTCCTAAATGCCTTGGCACTTGGAGGAGCAGCACTGCCTGTGCCCAAATGGGGCTTACCCTGCCTCACATCTCGAGTGACCGATACACGTGAGTTACCGGAACCGTCTCATTTTGCACCCGTGGGGCGCCAGTACCACGGCAGGGCCCATCCTGCCTATTCTGGGCTCTGACAGTGAATTAACTGGCTGCAGAAGTCCTAGAATCTCCCCTCGTCTGTGTTTTTCTTACCGATTGCCAAGAACAAGAATGTGCCTTGTTTAGGAACAGAGTTTCCAGAAGCGTGGAGGAATGTGACCCTGGTAGGAGAGACGATCATTTTCCCAGGGAATGCTTCTTCTGGGGAGCTTTCCCACTGCTGTGTCGGGGAAGGGAGAGGCTGGAGGAGCCCGGGAGGATGGAGGAGCGACGGGAGCTGTGTCCGTGGGCACAGTGTCACAGCAGCGTGTCGGGGACAGTGCTCGAAGAAGGAAGGTGCCCCTAGCAAATGAGGTATGGGTCACCAAATAAATCAGTCTAAAAACATACATATGGTTCTGAAAAAGCCCTTGACGTGCCTGTTTTTCTGTGGGATTGAGCTGTTGCTGGATTTTTCAGATTAACACTTAAGGTAAAAGAGCCACGTGGAAGTCAGGGATTAAATACAAGGTGTGGGATGGCCAAATGTTTGGGCATCTAGAGCATCTGTGAAGATGTTGGAATGAAAAACCAGACAAACCAAAAAAGCAGGATTTGGTACAATGATGAGGACATCCACCTTTTATTTGGTTTGATGGAGATGAGGGTTTCTCTAATCTTGCATTATAAAAATATAATACGAAACTAGAGCATTCCTGCAGTCTTGCGTGAAAACCTCTTTCCTTCCCTTTGAGGGAAACATCCATTTTCTGACTAAAACCAGTTGGTGCAGGTGTCTGTGGGGAGTATTGGGGTTTACAGGTGCTGTGCRACATGGCTGGTTGCAGGGAGCTCTAACCCATCGCCGCCGTGAGGTAGCCGCACAGCTCTCCTGCCAGGCCTGGGCGAGGGCCGCGGCGCGCGGCCCAGCAGGACGCGCGGGGCCTGCGCGGTGGTGCTTCCCGGTGCTTGCTCTCCCTTCCCAGCCGGCKGCTGCTGCGGGCCCGCGCCTGCCTGGCCTGGCCTCGCCGCCCTCGGGCTCGGCTCCGGCATCAGCTGGCGTAACGTTCCCAGCACGGAGGACTGGTCTGAGTCTGGGACTCGGACTTTCATTTTCCTCTCTCCTCCCTTTCTCAAAGCCCTGTTTTGTTTTCCTTTGCGTTGGTAGATGTGCTGAGGGAGCGGCGCTTGCTCCGGCCRCACRTCCCGCCTGGAGCATTCTCTCCTCKGCACGTTGTGCGGTCGCCTGTCTGAAACGTGTGCTGGCCTTGCTAACGTAGGGGTCTTGCTGACGCTGAGCACGGGTGGGACATTCTTACCTTTGCTKCTCTTTGTTTAACTACCAGTTGCTGGAACTGGAGCCAAAGGAGATTAATGGCTGCTCCTCAGTGTAGTCTCACCCAGTTCTCCTTCCTGGAGAGTTCTCCTTCCTGGAGTTTTGGAGTTCATGAGAAACAAGGACATTGCTCCAGCCTACAGAAGTTGGTATGGTGATAGAATTGTTATAGTTAGCTACAGCTAGTGGACGTTTCCCTGCCTCTGCCCTGTGTGATAAGCTGACGTTTTGGCCTGCACTAGCAACACCACCTAACCCTGTTGGCTCTTCTATTCTGTCTGGTTGCAGTTTCTTGGTCTTCTGAAGCCCGCTGTCCTCCTCCCCAAATCACAAAGTGTTTGAGATATTCTGGGGTGTCTGGGAGGGCTCTGAGGCTAACACCTTCCAACGTTACCCTGTCTTTGAGCAGGATGTGAGTAAAAGGAAGTAGTTGCAATGAGCAGGTGTTCTCATACCCCACTCTGGGCTACGTTGAGAAATGTGTCACATCAGAGCAACTATATTTAGCAGAGTTTCGTGCCCCCTTCCACTCCCAGCATGTTTTCAGCCATCTCGGCGACTGGGCCAGCGTGATCTTAACTTGCTTTCTTGTCTCTTGTGGTCACTGCTGTCACCGCAAGACATCCCCTCTGATAATGAACAGCCTCTGTGCAGATTTGGGCCCTGCTTTGCTGAGGAGTTTCTGGGCAGCCCCAAGATCCAGGAGGAGGAAGCGAGCAGGGACGGTGGCTTGGCTTTGGTGGCAGCAGCACAGGGAAGGAGGCTTGTTCTGCTGCTCAGGGCTGGAGAAGCACGCACAGAAGAGGAAAACACTATAGGACCAAGTGTAGCAGATTTCTTTTAAAAAGTTGATCTAATCCAAGGCATCTTTTTGAGGGGCTGCCTTTGTGATCCAATTATTCACAGCTGTTTGCAGGGGAAGGACATCCAGGGACATCCAGTCCATTTTTAGCCTGTGAAATGGGAATTTTTCCTCGGTTGGCTCTGTTGTTTGCCAGCTGGCCTGATCCTAAATGTCAATAAGTTTGGTGTTAGTTTTGGACGGGGGTGCATGTTGAGCTGCTAGTAACAACGTTTGTTTCCAGAAGTGGCACCAGTTTTGGGAAGAGGGATTAGCAGCCTGGTAAGAGGGCATGTACTGTAGGGAGAAGAGCCAGGGGAGGTGAAGCTGAAGTTCTGCGAAGGGCTGCGGATTCTCCGTATCTGCACAGCTCTTGTGCATCATTTACGGGCTTGAAAACTGAGAGCTGCTTCATCAGGCTTGAGAGGGCGTTTAAGTGTCTGCAAAGAAGCATCCGGGCTGGTAGCCGTTTGTCACGGCGAGTTCCCCAGAACCTGTGTTCTGGGGTCTCCCGCGCAGTGACTAAAGCTGTGTGTAAATGTCCTTAAACCTTCCTGCCTGTCCCGTCCACCCCCTGGCCCTTTGGGATTGATGGGATAATGGGCAGCTGCTCTTTGCCCGACCGCAGCGTCCGGTCCAGGCGTGCGCCGCGCTCGGGGCCTTGGGCATCCAGCTCCTTCCGAGGGCCTGAACCTGCAGAATCGCCCCCAGAAAGCACCAAATACGCAAGCCTTTAATAATGCCTTTTTAGGAAGAGCAAGCACTTTTAATTTATAGAATTGTTCATATCTTGATAAACTTCTGAGCTGTTTCAGGGCAGGAATGCTCAGAGGTCTGCCAGCCTTCCAGCAGGCCAAAAATGTAGGACATTATAAATAAATCTTAAGCACCCCCCCATTTTAGCTGCAGAGCAATCAGAGCGTTGTTTTTGTGCCCTCGCTTTACATGAGAACAAGAGGTCGCTGGATGACATTACTGTTTGGTAAATTTAGCACAAATAAAAGGAAATGCTACTTCACCTAGTGCGTCGTCATCCTGTGGAATACGCCGTTCCAGGATGTTAGTCAAAAGCTGCAGCCGGAACAGAAAAAATAGCTGGACGGTGCTCGCTGTAAGCCACGTTTTCCAGAAGGGATTCGGGGGAAGAGGCTGTGTCTTCTTTTGGAAGTGGCAAAAATGCCCTTTGTGACGTGAGATGGAGCCTCGCCGTGACTCTGATCGGGGCAGCAAGAGTAGGTGTCAGTGTTTCTCCCCCAAGAACTGCTCTCAGACTCTGTAAAGGTGGCTCAGAGCATAGCCTTTCTTGTCTTGCCCTGCTAGACTTCTGATGAAAACCCRTCTAACCTCCCGTGTTTCCTTTTGCCCAAGCCAAAAAGGAGACTCTCAGGCTTGCCTCCTTTGCAAGCACATTTTATCAGGAAGGGAATTACAGGAAATTTCAGGGGAGAGAAGGCATCCTTCAAAGCTTGATTTTTACAAAATTGTAAATATTTATTTCTGTTTGCCAACAGCTGCCCCAGCTCTGGTCGCTCAGCTGSTGTAGGATGGTGCTTACCAGAGCTGTGCTCCCAGCTGTGTAGGGCCCCCTTTGCTTGGAAAATGTCTCTGGCTCCACACCTGAGCTATGCACAACGTCTGTCGGGCTTCTTGCTGGTGCTGGGATGAAGTTGGTGCCATTGCAGATGGATGCTGCGAGCGGGACTCTAAAATTGACCATATCCCGAGATGTATGGAGTCTAAAGGCAAGCTCCGCCGGGTGTCTTTCTGGCTGACCTTCCGGAGCCGTGAGACACGGGAGCAGCAGCAGGATGCTCGGCTTCCGGGGTGCTCATTTTTAATCTGCTTTCTGAATCATAAGGAGAGAGGCACAGAGAGGACCGGTGGACGGTGGGGGCCAGGTATTYGGGTGTGTGGGTGGTTTCCTCGCGTTCGGTGACAAAACATGGGCTCTGGGGCTCTGCTTACCTGTGGTGAGAGCTGCCCGGCCGCATGAACCCAGCGCAGTCTGAGTTTGTGGTAATCTGGTGCTTCACATGGTGCAGCAGATGGTAGAGACACCCTGGGCGGCTGGAGGTTGTTGGAGTTGACATAGAAGGGATTTTTATTTCTGTTAATGGTGCTTGACCTTAATGCAGCTTCTCTTTTATCCGGATCTTGCAGCCGCTTCCGTATTGGTCTAATTTGAGCCGGCTGGATGGGAATCACCCTTCTCATTTCTGTCCTGTGCTCTTCTTCGTGTATTCAGAGATGTTTCCTAACTCAGTTCCCTGTTGGGAACGAGAGATAAAATCTCTGTGGTTCTGTAACCTTAGCAAGGGAATTGAGCTGGGTTAGGATATAAAGGAAACCTGGTTGGATTGAACTGCTGTTGCAGCTCGTTGCCTCYGAAAGGAGCTTCGATAGGGTAGGCGAGTAGCAACGTGTCCTCTCGCCGTCCCTTGCTGTCCTGCTGGGAACACGTCCTCCTAATTTTCTCTTCCCCTTCAGATTATCACTCCATGTCGGAAGCTCATTCTTTGTGCTGATAACAGGAAGGAGATGGAGGATTGGATTGCAGCACTGAAGACTGTACAGAACCGGGAACACTTTGAGGTAACCAGGAAACTTGCTCTTTCACCCTACTCCTCCCAAGTAAAGAACAGTCTATTTGTGCCTCTTCTGACTGCCTGAGTTTTAAGGAAAGAAAACTCTTGTGCCTCTCCTGTAGATCGTGCTCTAATATATTTGGTTTCTGTTTGCTAGTCTACCCAGTACAGCATGGACCATTTCTCAGGGATGCATAACTGGTACGCCTGCTCGCACGCRCGGCCAACGTACTGCAACGTGTGTCGGGAGGCGCTCTCCGGAGTCACGTCGCACGGGCTCTCCTGTGAAGGTAACAGCCGCTTATTTCTCCTGTTTTCACAGAATCCCAGAGTGGTTGAGGTTGGAAGGGATCCCTAGGGATCATCCAGTCCAAGCCCCCTGCTCCAACAGGGACACCCAGAGCACGGGGCACCTGGTGGCATCTAGGAGGGTGTGGGAGACCTCCAGAGCAGGAGCCTCCCCAGCCTCCCTGGGCAGCCTGTGCCGGGGCTCGGGCACCCTCACAGTGGAGAAGTTCCTCCTCATGTGCAGATGGAACTGCCTGGGTTTCTCCTTGTACCAAAGTTTCATTATGTTACTGACCTCAATTGCTCATCTATGTAGGTTGCTTCCCATTTTGCAGAGGCAAGAGAAGGATCTGGCACACATTGGTTTCTACCATCCCTGCTTCAAAGGCTGTAGCCTTGCAACACAGGGCTATAAGGGGAATAATATAAGAGTATTCCTTTTCATAAGGATGTTCTTGGTTATAAAAACATCCTTGTTAAATGTTTGGATGTCAGGAGATTATTCTTGCTCCATTTGAGCATAGCAGACGTGCCTGCCTACTCGCAGCTCATACTTCTAGTGTGAACGAGGTTACACCCACACTGTGTAAAGGGATGCAGGAGCATATGACTGTATAAATCCTGTCAAATTTAACAAGGTGATAACTAAGCTGTGTACAAGCAACTGGTGAAAGTGAGGAGGCAGGATTTAATAGCTAGCTCAGCTGACTCAGTGTGCTCGGAGGTGATGGTTCTGGCAGTGTAGTGAGTGCCCGTGCTTTCTTTTGGAGCCAAATATGGTTTCTTGGGAGCACTTCCGCACAGCCCTCCACGGGGCATGTTCCGGGACAGGATTAATATATTCTTTCCTTCGCTCTAGTGTGCAAGTTCAAAGCGCACAAGCGCTGCGCTGTGCGGGCAACCAACAACTGCAAGTGGACAACGCTGGCCTCCATCGGGAAGGATATCATTGAGGATGAAGATGGGGTAGGTATTAGTCCTAATTCTTCTCACCTTTTCTTGATGTGGGAGCTCTGGCACATGCTCTGTACAACTTTCTGCACTGTGCAAAGGGCAGATTCTCTCTATGTGTTAGTGAGGTTGGAAAAGCATTTACTGTCGTAGAATGGGACTGTAAATAGTCCCACCAAGCTGCTGAGGTTTCCGTACCACCAAGAGATACCTGCAGAGCAATAGACCYGGGGTTTGGAGCTTCAGTAGTCTGAGGCATAGGGAACATGGTCTGAGCTTTTGCAAARGCAAGCAGTGGAAACGTTACCTTATGGGGCATCTGAGGCAAGTGCAGGTTCTACWGCAGGCTTCATGCATAGCCTGAGGTAAGTCCTCTGGTCCCTTCGTGTTTCAGCTTGATGTAAAATGCCCAGGAGATASTGAGATGCTTTCCAGAAATTGTCTTTGTTACGGGAGAAGTTCCCTGCCGGCGTGTCCCAGTGCCGCGGTCCGTGGCGTGCCCTCTGCGTTGCTCGCGGGARGGTCCACACGGGCTGTCCCCTCTGTGCCCTTTGCAGATCTCGATGCCCCATCAGTGGCTGGAAGGAAACCTGCCCGTGAGCGCCAAGTGCACCGTGTGTGACAAAACGTGCGGCAGCGTCCTGCGCTTGCAGGACTGGCGCTGCCTCTGGTGCAAAGCCATGGTGAGTTGTGGGCCCCTGGCCGCTGGTGGAAGGACAGTCTTTGATCAGCTCTGCCGTGTGCTCTTTTAATGGCATTTACTCTTTGTTTATTTGTGCTGAGAAGTACTACTACGATGCATCAGTAAAACTTGAAATAAGTGTCTTCTTCAGAAGCTCRTTTTCTTTTGATATGAGCTTCCATAGAAGAATTTAATCACACTGTATCTGAATCAGTGCCTCAGGCATAGGAGATACTGTATTCCAAGGAGACTCTGTTTGTCATTTCTAGAAAATACATTGCAAAAAGATGATATAAATATTAAGCTCTTTTAATGATGGCCATTTTCCATACTACTACAATGGTTTTCTTTTGCCCAATCACTTCAGGCAAGATACAGATCTTGTCATATTTCCAGTTGTCTCTAAGTTTAATAAGGGAAGAATCACAACATGTGAGTTTATAATGTGGGAAAAGAAACCCCAAACCTCAAAACCCCAGGCAGCCCAGTCCTTTGCAGTGTTCATGTAACAGAAATGAATGAAATACCCAACTTTACTTTGTGCTTACTTTTTAGGGATTGCTTTATTACCTGYTCCTTCTTTTTCTTACCTCTAGTGTTCCTTATACTCTGTTTTTTTGCTTTCTTGTTTTMTTGAATTGTCAGTTTTTTGTTTGGTTCCTGCTTTTATTGTTGATCTCTCAATTTAGACTATGATTTTGAAAGCAGAGTGCCTGAAGGCTCTGAAAGCCACATGATCTGTTATCTGATCCTCTCGTCACTCAAAGTACTAGCCTCTTAAATTCTTACAGCATAAGAAATATACAGTAATGGAAAGAGAGAAGCAAATTAGCAGAAGACTCTTGTTAGAGCTTTCTTTAAAGTAGCTGTATTGCTTGACACTTGTTTGGGCTCTCTCCCTCTTTGTTTTTCACTCTTTCTTTAGAATCTCTCRTTGGGTGAGTTTCCGAGCTGTTCAGCAGTGCCTCAAAGGGTTAAAACTGATTTTTATTTCTCTTATTTCAGGTACACACAACATGTAAAGAGTTGTTGCCAACTAAGTGCCCTCTCGGGCTGTGTAAAGTATCTGTTATCCCTCCTACTGCTCTCAACAGCATCGATTCAGATGGTAAGTATCCCTTGGAAGCTGTGCCTGTTCTCTCTTCCCCTCGGTCACTGTTCTTTCCACAAACACTGTGAATGCCAGATTCTATCAACTGAGAATTCCTCTTTTGGTGGAAGTTGGAAGATCTTACTGAAGCACAGTGATGGGCTGGTGCTTTGCTTTTGCATTCAGTTTATTACGCTCTAACATCAGCATTTGCAGAGCTGAAGCTGTAAACATTTAACGTGAGCAACTATATTGCAGAAGCAATTTGGGAAGGTTGGAAAAGCTGAACCTTCTGGCAAGCTGCTGGGAGATAAGGGTGACACTTGGCAGCGTGAGGTGTGGTTCATGCTGGATTCAGGGCTGAGCGCGTTTGGCATTTACCCTGTGAGCGTCAGAAGTCCAAGGAAATTATTGACTTGATGGCTTAGCGGGGCAGATTCTCCTTTCTCACCCCATCCCCATGGGCAGCCTCATGTCTCTTGGTTGCTTTTCCACATCCCCTCCTCCTTTTGCCCMACACAGGTTTCTGGAAAGCTACTTGTCCCCCCTCTTGCACAAGCCCTTTGTTGGTCTTTGTCAACTCAAAAAGTGGAGACAACCAGGGAGTAAAGTTTCTACGAAGATTCAAACAGCTACTGAATCCAGCCCAGGTCTTTGACCTCATGAACGGAGGACCTCACCTTGGGTAAGCAGCTAATCTGTGGAGACAGAGGTTCCTTGTAACTACCAGGAAAACACAGGTGATATGATTATAAGCCTGTCTCAGCCTGTCCTCAAATGTAACAAGGAACCTAGTCCTCAGGGAGAACTGGATACAGGGAAAGTTTGGAGAGGTTTATCGTCTCTGTGTTTAGTGTTACTGATTAGCTGAAACCAAACGTGCTGACCAAGGTTATTATTTCCATTCATCGGTAATAGCAGAACAGCCTGAGGGGTTTGGGGGAAACTGCAGAAATGCTTACCTGGAAGCAGACCACGCGTGGAAAGCTTGAATCCAGAAGAACACTTGTCAGCAAACAGGTCTGCAATAGGCATCGTGATGGGCTGATAGAGTGTTTCTGTTGGTTTAATCAGTGAGCAATCAGATGTTGCAGGAATCACATGAATACTGTGAAAATGAGAAATTGGAATGATTACTTCTTTTTAGCTACTTTGTGTTTACTACTGAGTGTGCAAAGTTGGTTCTGTTTGGGGGACAAGAAATAGGCTAGATGACATTTCAAGCTTTTTTCTCTCCCCACAGTTCAGTGGGATACCCATGGATAAAATAATGACAGCTGGGGAAGAAATTCCTCTATTCTGGTCTCTAGTCCACTCCCTAAACATCCCTCTGCCTGCTCCTTAGGGATTTCCCWGGGTCAGTGACTCACAGACTGCAGTAACTTTCTCCTGAATGAATGCTGCTTATACTGAGTGCCCGTTAGGCACGTAGTGCACTGCCCTAGCGCACTGCAAGGTGCTGGCCTGCAGAGCCGCCGCACGCCGCCCAAAGCGTGTGTTTGCTAAGGGAGAGTTTACAGAAAACTTCAAATATTTTTCTTTTTTCCCCTCCCCTTTTGACTAACTGTAGAGAGGAAAGAGGGGAGAGATTTATTTTGTCAAGCAGCTGCAAATGCATCCAAACTAGCTTTCTGTTTGTTCATTTAAAAGCAAAGTAAATTCTGGAACATGGTAGAACTGCTGCTCAGTAGCTGGTCTCCTAAACTTGTGTCAGTCAAACTGTGCCATAAGTTGCCATCGTTTCTGAAAACTACCTTGTGTCGCTGGTGCTTAAAGAAATGCAATTTTGTATGTTATAGCAAGTACCGTTTAGGTAATAAAAACAAGCACAAATATATACGGAAAGGAAAGAAAAGCAGGTAGGAAGGAGCGCAGTTTCGGCAGCTTAAGGAGAGGTTGCCTTTGTGTCCTGTGCTCTGAGAAGAGTGAGCAGAGGAAGCGGCGCTGTGCTGCCGGTGAGCCGCGCGCGTGCCGCGGGACGGAGCCCTGGCCGTGCCGCCCCCCGGGAGCGCCGCGCCRGCGGCTCCTCGGCGCTGGCACCGGAGCCTCCCAGCGGTCACAAGTGCCAGGCTGAACCCCACAAATCTGCAAGAGGGAATTGATTCAGTGCAGGATTGACTATCACACCGTTGTTTCTTCTGCTGTTAGACAGAAGTGCCGTGCTGTGGAAGGGGAGTCTGCCTGGGACGGGTTTCTATAGGRAACAGCCATTGTAATTTGTAATTCCATGCTTATAATCGTGAATGTGAATTCGCTTGTGATCCGGCAGTGGCTTGTACTCACTGCAAAGTCAGGGCTGGCGCAAGCAGATCTGCCCTGTTCGCAACCTAGATTGTTTATCCTTCTTTTCTTAGAGAGATGATTGTTCGTCTCKCCTGATTTTTCTGTGTTCTTTACCCTCTCTAGTTTACGCTTGTTCCAGAAGTTTGACACCTTCCGGATTCTCGTGTGCGGCGGGGATGGCAGCGTGGGCTGGGTGCTCTCCGAAATCGACAGCCTCAATCTGCACAAGCAGGTACCTGTCCCGGGAGGTGTCGCAGCCCTGGCCGGGTGCGAGATGGAAGCGGCAGACAGCGGTGTCCGCAAGGGCTGTCGTCTTGCAGGAGTCGTTTGCGCGGGACTAAAACTGCTGAGAGGCCACCAGTGATTTCCTGCAAGAAGCAGCACTCGAGTAGTTATCCCTCTGTCCAGTGCTCTTCCACTGCTCCCTCTTAGGAGCTGCAGCAGGGACTGGCTCTGGGAAAGCCCACAGTTAGAAAACCAGGACTTCCACAGGGATATGCCCCTAATCTCTTCCCTTTAATTTTCATGTTGTTGTTTCCAAGTCCTGGAATAGCTAGGAACTTTCTTGGAGTGAAGGTAAGATAGGGGTTTGACTTGTTTCCATTTTGTTCTGGAGCTGGCTCTGCTGGTGTTACCAAGAAGCCAACAGCACCACCTCATGGTTAAATGACAGCACCGAAGACGTGCAGAAAGCTGTTTTAGGCAAGGTGCTCCAGAGGGTAGCTGTAGCACACTCCTCTCAGTGAACAACTTAAAAGCAGAGGGAAGTCTTTGACTTGTGTGCTCTTCTGACTGTTTTCCCCATCCAGCTGCCTTCTTCTCACACTCTGATCTTTGTGAGGAGCCTGTGATGTTGCTTGTGGCTGTTTGCAGCTTGTATTTTCCCATGTGAGCGTGAATTTTGTTTTCACTTGTGTGCTGCAGTGCCAGCTGGGCGTGCTGCCCTTGGGAACAGGAAACGACCTGGCACGCGTGTTGGGCTGGGGCTCCGCCTGCGACGACGACACCCAGCTCCCCCAGATCCTGGAGAAGCTGGAGAGAGCCAGCACCAAGATGCTGGACCGGTGAGCAGCCACCACGACACCCTGCCCTGCGSGAGCCTGGTGTGAAAGCTGCCTCTGAGGAGGGTTGGGCGGTTCTGCTGCGCTTCCTACTAGATCAAGTCACTGCTTTTTCTGATAATTATCTGTCAGCTTTCATCAGTGGAAAGCAGTCYTGCCTTCTCTGTCGCTTCTGCGAAATAATAGGGAGAGAAATTGTCACTCTGATGTCCTGCCTGTTCCCTGGTGCTCCAGGGTTCTGGTCAGCCGAGTTTGGCAGTCTTAGAGTTGTGATTTTTTTTTTTTTTTCTTAAATTTTCTTAAATTCTCTCTTGGTAAGTTTGAAGCAATTTATTTTGAATTTGACTTAGAAAAGAAAATTGGAAGAAGAAATGGGCATCTCTACCACTATTTGTTATATATTCTGTGTATCTTTATACATTTAAAATATGTCTTGTCTTTGGAGTTACATCTTGGCAACTGTTGCTTTGGGTCAAGTAATGCCCATAATATTTCTGGGAGAAAGGGAGGACGGAGGTGGTCCTTGTGCTGTAGGAYACTAGTTCATAGACTCATCCCACAGTGTTCCAACCTCTGCAGTTTCTGTGCATCCCTTTAGCCTCCCTTTATCAGTCACATTCTTGTTAAAGTGTAGTTCTTCCGATGGAGGTTTTATGTCCTTAGAATAAAGGAGGTTGTTGTCTGCCTTGTACTGACAGCTGCTTTTCAACAGGTGGAGCATCATGGTGTACGAAACGAAACTCCCTCGCCAGGCCTCCACCTCCACAGTCACTGAAGATTTCAGTGAGGATTCAGAGGTACCGCGCAAGATACAGAGGGCAGAAACGGGCTGCAAAAGCCTCAGAACGGATAAGATAAAGGCTTTGATTTAGGCTCAAAAAGATGAGCCTGAGCCATGATGTGGATGTGGTAGAAGCTACAAAAATCCTGGGACTTTAAATCCAGGATTTAAAATTAAAGTGTTATAGAGGAAACKGGAGGTGGGATTACCAGAATCAACTACTGTGATGGGAATGAGAGGAAGGAACAGGACAGAGGAAGATAGAGGTGCCAGGAAAGTGGTTGGTTATTCTCTGCTAACATGACGTTGTGTCACAGAAACAGTCATCACAGGAACCCTAAAAGCCCAATGGTTTAGGTTCCTGCTAGATCAGGATTTTAAGATCTGAAATGCTGAKGATTCCTAGGTTCAAAATCAGTTTCTTCATCAGACTCAGGTCTTCATTGGGTAACTGAGCTCTGAATCAGAGAACGTTTCTAGACCAAAAAGAAAACGCAGAATGATAGATCCTCTCTGGAGAGCCAGGGATACACGGCATATGTGGTAAGGTGGGGAAGCAGCATTCCCGTGGTTTGTTCCTGAATGTTACCAGGTGCAGAAGATTCTCTTCTATGAAGACTCCGTGGCTGCTCATCTGTCCAAAATTTTGACTTCTGACCAACACTCAGTGGTCATCTCCTCAGCCAAGTGAGTACTTGCAAGAGAAGTGGTCTTAAAGGATTTAAGTAACACCGTGAAAGTCCTGTGACGATCCTTGTGTGACTTAATTTTCCCTACCTATTTTGTCTAGGGTGCTTTGTGAGACAGTGAAGGATTTTGTGGCTCGAGTAGGGAAGGCTTATGAGAAAGCAACTGAAAGCTCAGAGGAATCGGAGGTCATGGCCAGGAAGGTAAACTGAAGAGGTTGTACGTTTTTATACAGYTGGAGTGGAAAATCTGCTCTGCTTTCAGAGAAGTCAGACTGCAGCAATTCAGCAAGCACTGAAAGAATGAGCTACCAACTCCACTCTTGGTTGTGCTCAACCTCTTCTTTGCCTTGTAGTGCTCTATCCTGAAGGAGAAGCTGGACTCCCTGCTGAAGACGTTGAACGATGAATCTCAAGCATCTTCATCTCTGCCAAACCCTCCTCCTACCATTGCAGAGGAGACAGAGGATGGTGATGGCTCGGGCAGTGCTTGTGATTCCTCCAGTGACCGCTCTGTGGCCTCGTCATGCACTGCACGGCCCCAGATATTTCGCCCCCGTGAGCAGCTCATGTTGAGAGCCAACAGCCTGAAGAAAGCCATCCGTCAGATTATAGAGCACGCAGAGAAAGGTAACGGGCCGGGAGGCCTGCAAGGGCCCGTGGATCGCTGGCTTGTGCCAGCCGGTGGCTGGTTACGTGCTCTGAGAAACACACCTCCCATTGATCCCAGAGGGGAGTGGGATTTTTAAACCAGAGCCTTCCTGAGCTACAGGGAAGTTATCCTGTGAGCCTGGCTCTCTAGTTYAGTGTCCCCTCTGCCAAGCCCACCTGTTTGAACTGCTGCCTCAGGGCTGAGCCTGAAAGTTAAGGCATKTTCTCTGCCCTAGGCCTGGTTTAGGAAGGTGCTGCCCTCATACACTCTGTTCATTTCTATTTCCTGTCCRTCCCCACCCACGCTACAGTTGTGTCAGCACAGCTGTTTGTGTGGCCTTGCTGTAAAATGCATCTGAAAATGCTTTGGGAAGAAAATATTCTAAATATTTTAGCTTGGATTGTTTCAGAAATCTCTTTATAGTGGAGCCCAACAAAACAGCACAGTGGTACAGCGGAAAGGGCATTGAACTGTAGCTTAGGGGCAGGAGAAAGCAGGAACTTCTTAAACTAGCTCAGTTACTGGGAAAGTATTTGTAATGCTGCRTTTTGATGCAAATCACTTCTGTTCCTGCATTCACTTCCTAGGTGGGTGCCCCCCTCTCCCACATCTTAGCCCTTCTTATCTCTCCCCAGCCCCACACACCTATAGCTCAAAGTCTAATTTCCTTCCAAAGGCGTCAGTCTCCCCAGATGTTAGTCATTAACTCAGTGTGGTTTAACTTACACCAAAGGAATGATTTAACAGCGTATTACTTGAGATAAAAGTGCTGAAGTCAGAGATGTGACAAGAGATGTGACATCAATGCACACCCAAGTGTGCACTGTGAAGAAAACTATGTAATAAGTTATTACAGCATCGCAGTATTGTAGGCCCTGGAGCAGAAGGCTTGAGCTGATGTGAGCAGAGCCAAGGGGCTGCTGCTGATGAAGGAGAGGTCCTGACCTCGCTACTGGCCCCACTTTGCTGCCACGACCTTATACAGCCTTTGGGACTTGCTGGAGTCCACGAGGAGCCCGTCCAATTTGCTTAAATCCAGCAGAAGGAGTTTAGGATCTGCTGGATCAGTGGTTGATTTGCCTTGTGGATACTGGAGAGGAACTCCAGCCTCCTGGTGAGAGCAAGGGGCTTGTCCCCTGTGAACAGCAGTGTGGTTGGGCTCAGGGCTGCGTGCAGAGTGCACCTGGAGAGGGGCTGCCAACCTATGTGCAAGGCAGGTTTGRATTTCTTCTGTAATACACTGACATTTGATTCTTGCACAAATTCCAGTTATGTTTCAAATGTATTTAAGTTCTCCAAGCTGCTCTTCTTCTTCCAAAGTGTGTGATCTGATTTCCCCTTGGTTTTACTATTTTTTTTATCAACAGTATTTTTTCCCTCGAGATTATATGTGTCTAAGTGCCCCTTTTCAAATGATGCATCCCGTTATCCCAGTACGGATCAAGCAAACAGAAATCCAGTTTGATTTGTCATTTAGTGTCCCTTTGAGTAGACTTTCTGGCACTTTCTAATAAAGGCAAATAACTGGAAGGCCACCACCTGCAGCACCGTTCACAGCTCAGCCTGAGTACCCCTCGTRTTAGAGTTGGGCACTTCTATTCACAGCCAGAACATGCTAAATATGTCAGCAGAGAGAGCTGGGGACTAAGCCAGCCCCATTACAGAAGTTCTCCAGAGCAGGCTGTAGCTGAGATAGATGGCACAGGAAAACTCCTGGTTACTCCTGTTTATTTCTGTAGGGAGTCAGGGCCTTTAGAGCATCCTTGTCTTATGTCAGTGSGGGGTGTCTCTTGTTGCTGGAGCTGGGAAGCACTCGCTGTTCCTCTGCCCGTACAGCTGTGGATGAGCAGAACGCCCAGACGCAGGAGCAGGAGGGCTTCCTCCTCAGCCTCTCGGCCCCTGAGGAGAGCAAGGAGCTGCGGAACGAGGACAAGATCTCGCTGCAGTCGTCGCACAGCAGCAGCTGCGGCGTGTCCAAGGGCAGGAGCCAGCGGAAAGGTACCGCGCTGGGATGGTGCCGTGCGGAGCTCTGCAAGCAGCTGCCCTCCTTGGGGCAGAAATGAGGGCAGTGTTGCAGGCAGCACCTTCCACCTTCTGCTTTTCTCTAGTTTCTGCATGATTGTTTTTCGCCTCGGATGCCGTGTCCAGCACGTTTTCTGGGCTCAAGCCTACAGCTTTTTTTCCACCTCTTTGATGGCTGGCCTGTTACCTTGGCACGTGAAACTAAGGATTCTGAGGTTTTCTCCTAGTCAGTAATCTAAGTTTCTTGGCTTTCAGTGCTTGGATGAGGATGGTCCAGGGATATCCATTTTTTTTTTTGTCATTTCGCTGTAAGCTCCTTGCCATCCATTGCAGATGACAGAAAATGGAATACAGTTTGCTTTAATAACTGTGTTGAGTGAGTAATTTGCTAGCGATCCCTGTCACTGCAAGTACATTTGGAACTTAACAGTGTATGCTGGGAGCCAAATAGCCTCTCTGTTGTGCTGCTTGACACCAGCTTTTCCTCATCTCCATTTCTGATCCTTGCATATGACATTTCTGTGCCTCCGGAGTGCGAGCTTTCCCGGCTGCACATATGCCACATCTCTAACTCGTAAAGACTGGTCTTGTCAGCAGTTTGTTTTATGGTGCCTGGCGTGTTTTGCTGCTGAGTGATTCCCCAGCCTTGTTGCTGCTGCTGGGTCATGCTGGGGCGTTCCGGCCTGCGTCGCGCGCTATGTTTGTCAACAGGGCTGTTTGTGTTGTGTTTTTCAGTGTCCAAGTCTCCTTGCGAAAGGCTCATAAACAAAGGAAGTTTGTCGCTGGGCAGCTCTGCCTCTCTTCCTCCCCAGACAGGAAACCGGGACAACTTGCCAATGCTGAACACAAAGATCCTCTACCCAAGTGAGTGCAACACCCACCGCTTCCCAGCCGGGCGGCCAACTGGACTGTGGGTGACGGCAGCACAGCCTCAAGTCTCCCTGCAAAACCATGAGCTGGGTCTCTCTGACACACCCGTGCGCACAGGAGCTGCTGTGTGGTTTTGGCTGTTGCCTTGGACAGTGAAAGACAGGAGTCTCGTGAAAYTGAAACTGCCTCTTTTCTGCTTATTGTTATCACTCTCTTCCCCTTGTCCCTTTTCCCGTAGATATCCGTGCTGGCATGTCTGGGTCTTTGCCTGGGAGCTCTGTCATCAGCCGCTTACTGATTCATGCTGATCCCTTTAACTCTGAGCCTGAAAATCTGTGAGTATGCCCTGGGTGGTGAAGGCCCAGGCTTCTGAGGGAGCCTCAGCATCAGTTCATTGCTCTGAGAAGCAGAGTTGCATGGAGAGCTAGATAAGGGACAGCAGCATCCAGAATATGTCAACGAATTCTCACATGCTGAGTGCCAGTGAGGATCAGATTATGGGTTGAACGTGCAGGGAGGCGTCTGGTTCGTTGTAGAGGGTTTTTAGGCCGTTGGTGACAGAATGAAATCCAGTTCAGTCTTCTCCCAGCGCGCAGAGATGACTCCAGTTTCTGATGGGGAGAATGGGCAAAAGATAAATTGTGGCAGAACCAGCAGCCTGCAGCACAKCTGGCAGAGAAAGCTCGTGCATAGACCATGGTAGGAGAGATGGCTGAGATGCGTGATGTGAAATGATTCTCAAAACATTGTGCTAAGCTGCTTACCAGTAAAAACTCAGTGATGTTGACCCATGTGTTTTTTATGGAGTGTAGTGCCGCTGAGATTGGTATTGACATTTTTGAACTCATTTGTCAGGTTSTCTGTAGGTAGCACCTATACAGGCATTGCTAATATATAGGGAGGCTTTTTACATAACCCCAGTGACCAAGGTCGTTTTCTGTAGCCTAAGCGAAGGCTTCGGGATGTGTTTCTGTGGCGGGGGGAGAATTCCTGCACAAGAAATGGCAGTTTGTTCTTTTTGTTTGGCAGTGAATGTTACACAGAGAAATGTGTCATGAATAACTACTTCGGAATTGGATTGGATGCAAAGATTTCTTTGGACTTCAACAACAAACGTGACGAGCACCCAGAGAAATGCAGGTGGGTTTATGGCTTGGGTTTGCTYGACTAGCATCAGAAGTGACAGAAGCCAGTTTCCGTTTCTGGGCTGTTTTGAAGCTGATGGTGAGAAGTGTGCTGAGTAGGCATATTACCAATTTTGTCTGTGTAATCCTCTTCCAAGGGGGCTTGAAATTGGGATGAAGAGAGAAATTCTGATGTGTTACTGATTCACTGTGCTGTTTGGAGGCTGCGAGAGCTTCGAATAGCTACACCAGCGTGGATTCAGCACTTTGGTTCTATGTACTTGATCATCCCACTCGGATTATTTTTCTTGTGCCTATTGTTTAGTTACAAGAAATTTGCATCTCAGCTCCCTGGATGCCACGGGGACCAGTTTCATCCTTGAGACTAACCATATTTTTGACCCTTTGAAYAGCTGGACAGCTATAGTATCCTTTATATAGCCTTATATTTGCTCTACTTGTGCAGGTATTTCAAACACTGTTGATGACCTTGTGTGTGAGACTGACCCATTCTGTCTTGGGGCAATCTGCATGTTTGTTAGGAAGGAAAGAACCTTTGCGTTGTAGGATATCGGGAGATACCCAAAATAWTTATTTATTTATTTATTTATTTAACCATAAGAAAGGTAAATGTTTCTTGTGAGAAGGTAAATGCTTTATGTTGCCTTTTTCTCTTCTCTGGTTCTGTCCCTTTAGAAGTCGTACTAAAAACATGATGTGGTACGGAGTACTAGGGACGAAGGAGCTGCTGCACAGAACATACAAAAACCTGGAGCAGAAAGTCCTGCTGGAGGTGAGGAGTTTCAGTGTGCCTTTCTGTTGCTGAAACTGGGATATGTAACTGCATTTCCTTCAGGCACTTTGACCTGGACATCGTGATACTACTTCTGACCTTAGGGTGTTTCTCTTACCTGCACTATTATTCTGTCTCACCCTGAGCTAGCTGAAAGTGGCTGTTTCTGTTGCTGGAAGATACTTGCAGTCTCTACACAGCCCTGTTAAGAGGTATTAATTATCTCAAACTGGTCATTAAAAATAGACAAGATTCTTACCTGTGGTGTCTCATGCAAACGTGGCATTTTAGACAGTAGGTGCAGTGGAGAGCTGTTGTTTTGACTACGTTATGGTGTGGATCAAACTGGAAAGGAAATGTCCTTGTCTGTCCAACCTGCAGCCCAAGCCGCCAGTTTGCAGGAGGAGACTCTTGTCACAGCCCATTGCACAGATGTTTCAGGAGTTTTATTCTTGTCTTTGGGAGAATAAAGCAAAAAGTGTTGCTGAGTCTCTCGGGTGTGCCCACTTTTGGAGGAGAGGTGGTTCGTGAGACCTGRATGGATAGATTCCTCTGCTCTTTTACACTAAGAGTAAATTATAAATAGGCAGGCTGTTTCTTGTTCTTAGAGCCAATGCTGTGGCTGGGGAGGCTCTCTCCTGCCATGCTGAGAGTAGTGTTGTCTTCTGCTCTGTGTAGTGCGATGGGAGACCGATCCCTTTGCCCAGTCTCCAAGGAATTGCTGTACTCAACATTCCCAGCTACGCAGGAGGCACAAACTTCTGGGGAGGTACCAAAGAAGATGATGTGAGTATTTTGTAAAGCAATCCCAGAGTCATAGTCCTTAAGATCTCTGCTTGGAAGAGAAGGGCTGAGGACTTGTCTGCATGCTTCTCTCTGAAATGGATAGGATACTGCAAAGCAGCAGCTTCATACCTATGCAATCTGCAGTGATTCAGGAAGGAACCAGGTGCTGTCCTAGGCATTTGGAACTGCAAGAAGYGCTGTAGATTGGCTTTCTGTCCCTGGAAAACCTCAAAATTTTGCCTCTTTGAAGGCAAAGGGAGTTATATCCAGTCAAAATGTTTTCTTATTGGCACTTATCTTTTGACATGAGTGCCTACTTTCATAAGAATAAATCAGGCTTTTTATTTGGATTATATTTTAGCTGCCAGTGGAAGCACCGTGGGAATATCGAGGCTCCTTTTTCTCCTTCCTAGGTCACTGCAAATCTTCACATTCTCACTTCACWGTTAATTTTATACAGAATGAACAGTATAAGTGAAAGCTGACAGCCAAATCTCCATCCGTAGGCAGGAAAGGAAACCTGTCTAAGAGCTGCATATGAACTGAACTCTTCTCCCTTGTACCTGGCAGACTTTTACAGCCCCCTCCTTTGACGACAAGATTTTGGAGGTGGTAGCAGTGTTCGGAAGCATGCAGATGGCAGTATCCCGAGTGATAAACCTGCAGCATCACCGGATTGCACAGGTAGCAGCTGCTTTTGTGAGCACTCCTTACCTCCCCATCTCTAGCTTGTGGCCTTTTTGCTGGTTTTGGTTAGGAAAGCCCTCCTTTGTGCTCTGTTTTGTCCATGGGAGAGCATCCAACAGCATTGAAGATTAATATGTTCACAGGCTCTTTGTCACATGGAATTGTTTGCTAGTGTTCACTGTGGTGGGAGTTAGTCCACAGCTATTGAAATATAGATTAGTCTGGAGACTTATCCCAGGGTTCCTGCTGCACAAGGTGAGGCTTGTCCTGCCATGTAGACATGTGGGGCTCCAGAAGCACCAGAGCTACAGAACCTGGGGAAGTGCTTTGGAAAGAAAGAGATTGGCTCATGGGTTGGGAAGATTTATGTTTTAGAGCTTCTCTAATGCAATCACTCCTTGCAGTGTCGGACTGTGAAGATAGCAATCCTGGGAGAAGAGGGAGTTCCTGTGCAAGTGGATGGGGAAGCCTGGATCCAACCTCCAGGTTATATYTGGATTGTTCACAAGAACAGGGCGCAGACACTGACCCGCGACAGGGTAAGAGCAGCCTTAGGTGCACTGGGTGGTACACATAGGTGCTTTGATACCATATATTCCCAGAGAGTGTGGCAATGGCTGGATCTAGGCTACAGGAAAGCTCATCTTTGTGGAGGTAAAAGGTATCTTTTTTGACACTCCTCAAACCTTTTTGGAAAGAGCATGGTTAAATTTGCCTTCACTACTTGGGAAATAATATCCTTAAGGTTGTTTTGGCAAGCTTATTTACTTGCTTTCCTAGGTGCTTTGTGGCAGTGTTTCTTAATATGCTTGCATGCTGGTCTTCCCAAGTGATGCCTGCCTTGCTGAGCGCTGCAGTTTGTCCAGGGTCAGCTATTCAGGACTTTTTATTTCTCCTCATTGTTCAGCATGTAGCTTATAACTCATAGACCAAGCAAAGCAACATCTCATGCCCCATGCAGCAGAGCTGTGTCTCGTCTCTTCTCATAGTTTTAAAATATATCTGAACAGTACCAACACCTAAGGAAGTTTTCTTGCTGTGTTAGCATGTTACTGGATGGTGGTGACCAAARGAAAGGACAAATGCCTTGCTGTGACACAGGCTTTATGTTTCTTCTAACTCTGTACTCCTGTCTGGATCAGCAWTTTGCTGGTAGCATTTTTTACTACTTCCCAGCATAACACTCCCCTACCCAGCTTGCAGAGCACACCAAAATCCTGCTGCCAAGGACGCAGCTCCCAAATACAAGAAACAGAGAACAACAGAGAGGGGGAAAGAAAAAGGGAAAATAGTCCTACAGGTTTAGGCACGAGGAACAAGTTGGAAATATAATGGTGGGAAAAAGAAAAGACTGGGGATTCTAAAGCCCCTGTCAAGGTAGGACAAGGAAATTCCCAAGACCTCATCGGCTGGGAGAGAACAGAAGGTACTGGTGTGTGTTACGGAGAAGACAGAAACAATGAGCAGATTTTCACATGGAAAAAAATACTTGGAGAGACAGAGATCTTTTGCATGGTCACAGTGTGTCGAGGGGAGGTGACGGAAGGAGATGGCCAGGAGAGTGGAACAGAGATCCTGCTGTGAATGTGGATGGAGAAAAGGAGAGGGAGAGGGAATGTAGGGGGGACCCAAGTGCCTGGTGCCGGGGCTGTGTGGGCGCTGGGGCAGCCGAGGCCGTGGCTGTGTCCCCCTGCCCCTCCTTGCCTGCACGCCCTGTTCTGCAGCCGCCCACTGCCAGTGGGGAACAGCTCCCAGTCAGGGAGAGCAGAACTCAGCTTCTTCCTTCAGCACAGGCTTATCCTCATCTTTCTGGCTGGCTGTCACCTGCTGCACACCACGGCCTTCCCAGGGCACAGTCTCCTATGCAGGAAGGGAAGTGGGGCCCTCTCTTTGAGTGCACGATCCTCGTGTCTTCTGTAAAATCCCTCTAAAGTGGTTTGGGGTATTTAGTTTCCTTCATGTAAGTGGAAACTCCAAATTCTCTCGTGTGGCCTCATCTGGATTACTGATGGGTCATCAGCAGGGCTGATACCAGCACACAGCTTGTTCAGAGCTGACAGCTTGGCTTTGTGCAGCACCAGGGGAAGTGATTCACTTCAGCACAGGGCTTCACAGGTTGTTTTTCTTCAGACTCGGAAGAATGATGTATCCCCAAACCTGGGATCTTCCCCTGGGCAGTGTTGTTCATGTAGGCACTGGCTCCTGTGCTCCTTGCCCCTTAGCCCTGCTCCCCTTACCTAGTCTATACCCCTGTACTCATCTCCTTTGACTTTCCAAGCTGCTACTGTTCCTGGCAGTCTCATTTTCTGGCTCCCTGCGCATGCCTTTTTCCACAGATGCTTTACACACTCTTTTTCTCTTCCTCATCTTCTCTGAATTCCTTTTCCTGTTTGTTTTCCTCTCTCCCAGCCACTTCTCGTGTCTAGATTATCCTTATTGCATTTCTCCCTCTCACTGATCCCTCTCTCCCTGCCCTGAGGCTTTGTGTTCTGTTCTCATTCTCACCAGATCTAGTTTTGATGCTTTTTGCTCTGGRTCTGTTTTGCACCACTGGGCAGTGCCAGCAGGAATATCAGTAAGGGTGCAGGTGAGGCAAGTCCCAGCTCTGAGTTTGGGATCGATTTCTAGAGAGGTATTCCTGCATAAGGAGGAGTCTTTTCCAGCTCTGAAGATGCCATGCACACAAGAGGTGTGCAGTAATGCATTCTTCACTGTCTCCACCGTCCACCAAAACTTGTAGCAGCCAAATTAGGTGGATTTTTACTGAGTAACAAAAGGTACTTCTTGGGTAAACATCAGATTTAAGATTTCTGCTGCAAAGCATAGAGGTGATGCAGTTGGCCATAGAAAAGGCTGACTGATTTGGTGGCTTTTGCTAGTCTGGTTCTCAGAATCAGCCTAGCCACTTTGGCTAAATTTAGACTTAAGCTTAAACCAAGGTAAGCATGTGTGGCCTTGAAAGCTTCAGCCCAAGAGGCTGAAGTTGGCGGTTACAAGCAGATGAACAGCCAGGTCCCGCAGTGGGAGTTGTTCAGACCCAGAGCTCTGCGGGCACAGGCTCTCACAGGCCGTTTTTTTCTGGGAGATTTACAAGGTTTCTTAGAGTTTGCTTGCTGTGTTTTTAGGCGTTTGAGAGTACCCTGAAGTCCTGGGAGGACAAACAGAAGTGTGAGTTGTCCCGACCCTCCTCTTTCTCTCTGCAACCAGAGATCATGTCTGAAGAAGAGTCCACCCAGATCAACCGCTTTGGCCAGGCTGCAGGTGCTCTGATCCACAGGTGGGACTCCATTTCCTTTTCGTGGACAGAGCCCTCCGTGGGTGCCTCGAGTCCTTGTCCTGCTCCCTGTTCCTGCTGAAGTTTCTCCTCAGCCCTGCCCGCTGCAGAGCTGGTCCCTGTGTCTGAGAGCGGCGTTCCGTCGCTGTGCACTGCCCCAGCTGCGTGAAGCTCTCTGTCTGAAGTCAGACAAACTTTTGTGGGTCGTTCATGGCTTTTAGTTCAACTTCCATGAGCAAACGAGGATCCTTTAATCTCTAAAGATTAATAGCTTTGGACATCAGTGGTTTTTATCAGGACTGTAACACAGTCACTGGGAACTGTAAACTCAGATGACAAGTTAGGRACTTTTAACCGTGATGCCCACAGAGATTTGTGAAATAAACCACTGTGCGCTCATCTGCGCATCCTTTATTTGGGCATCTTGCCTTTAAGAGGAAATGCCCAGATTCACATCAAGAAGGTGTTCATTGAACTGCTGTGTGTGCAGCTGCCTTTCAGATCACAGTGGTCATACTCGAGTTTCTAGGTCCTATTTTAAACTGGCCCCCCGTCACGTGCAGAACTGCAACAAGCACTGGAGTTGTCGGCGTGAGGTCTGCGTGCTTTGCCTGCGCATGCTCGCTGTGGCAGGCAGAACGGCCCTGCTTTGCTGAAGGCTGAGCTCCTCCTCGCCCTGCTCTCGTCACTCATGTGGGTGTGAAGGGGAGAGGTTCACTGCAGAGAGATCTCTTCCCTTGAGCGTATGCTGACCTAATCTGTAATTCTCTCTTTAGCATTCGGGAAATAGCACAGTCCTACCAGGACATGGAACAGGAGCTTGCCCATGCTGTCAATGCCAGCTCCAAGTCTATGGACAAAGTCTACGCTAAATCCAAGTCTACAGAGGTATTTCACTCACTTGGCATCTCTCATTTTGTTCTTGTGCCACAGCTCTTGGTTCTCCTTTCTGATTGACTAGCAGTAGGCCATGCTTCTCTAAGACTTTGTCCTTGTTACTGCCCAGACCTCTGCATTCCTGGACTTTATTTATGCACATGTTGCTTCCCCACAGGGTCTGAACTGCAGCCTCGTTGTAGAGATGGTGAACAATGTGAAAGCCCTGCATAATGAGACAGAGCTGCTGCTGGCAGGCAAGATGGCTCTGGTAAGAAGCACAGAGTGGGAGTGAAGCAGCCCCTCACTTCCTYTCTTCTGCTGTGACCTTGGCAAACGACATCTTGCTGGTCTTGGTCGTCTTTGTCTTCACAACAAGTCAGTTTAAATGTTACCTTTTGGGGAATTAGGATGGGTTGCTGCACAGGTGTGATGGCCCGTCAAGCAGTTTGCTCGGAGGTGGGGCTCAGAAAATGTGAGTTTAACATGGTAGTGTCTGGGTAGAGGGCCTGTCGTGCATGTCCTTTTTCAAAGGAGAGCTGCTTTGTTCGCTAGGAGTTTCCAAGCAGGGGCCTCCCTGTGTGTTCCACCGTGTTTTTTAACTCCTTTGTTTCCATTTCTGCAATTTCAGCAATTGGATCCCCCACAGAAAGAGCAGCTCCAAGCAGCCCTGGCAGACATGGACCTCCAGCTAAGGAAGCTGGCAGACATCCCTTGGCTGTGGCAGCTCATGGAGCCCTGTGATGAGGAGGTGAGGAAGGCCAAAGCTCTATTTCCTTAGCTCTTCTCTTTTTTTGCTAGCTGGCTGTGAGTGTTTCACTTCCTGTGAATATGCAGCAGATGTTAGAAAAATTCGTTGAGAAGGAAACTCAACTCCCTGGGGCTAAAGAAAGTAATTTCCTGCTAAGGTCTCTTGACTGACGTGGGATCAGCTTTCTCCCTCTTTTTCCTTCTCCATCTTGATCCGAAAGAGTTTAGATATTTTTTTCCTCTCTTACAAGGTCATGGAGCTAAGTGAGAGGGTACTTGCTGCTCTTGGGCTGTTGCAGTGAAGTGGTGTTTGGTGACGTKCCTTTTCCCTTGTGTTCCTGCAGAACCAGATGCTGGATTATTCGAAACGCAGCCGCAGTGGCAAATTTCGGCTGGTGACCAAGTTTAAAAAGGAGAAGAACAACAAAAATAAGGAGACTCATAGTAGCATGGGATTGCCGGGTACCAAGCCTGCTCATTCCCGGTGTTTCTGTTCATCACCCCAGTGTGGTCACACCACCACCCGCTCTCCGTCTGGCTGTCTGTTCCCTCACATGTTCTGTCCCTCTTCTGTGTCCATTGCATCTGCCTTTTCTCAGAGGTCTAGTCTGTCTTTCTCACAYGGCAAAGTAGCTTATTGCTCTGTTTTGTCTGAGTCGAGATCCCCAGCACTAAGCAGCTGTTCCTGAGCAGAAACAGGAGCCACCCTCTGAATGATCCCACCGATCGCTGGACATTTCCTGGGATATCTTAGGGGATGCTTAGGGAAGTGAGTTTGAGGATTCTGATCTTTCAGGTATCCATACGACTGTGGGGCCCAAGTCCGCATAACTCCAGTCTTTTCACTGCTCATACTCTGTGATATGGTTAATGATATTTTTCTCATTGATTCACCCTCAGGCTTTAATCAAGTTTCATGTCTAATTGGCTGGGGATCAGCATCATCACAGGTGCACCCTGACCTTTAATCCTACCGGTCAGTAAATAAAAACTGGCCGTCAATCAACAAATTGCCAGTGATATCAAGACACTTTCTCTCCAACTGGGTTAGTTGATTTTTGGTTTATATTCTATTTATGAAGCCTTTCTACTCCTAAAATTCAGAGGTACTGGCTGTTCTGTGGGCTCCTGGGTCCTGTCCTCTGCCATAGAGCTGTGGATACAGTCTCCTCCTGTCTCTCATTGCCGCTCACTTACTGCCTCCCAGAACTTGGGACCTTATTTTTCTCTTATTTAGAGGCTGTGCAAGAAGCTGACACTCTTCCTCTCTCCCGTGGACTTCAGGAGGAGAGGCTGCCATTTTGCTTGCCGAGCACAAGTTTTTGTACAGAAGGGCAAACTAACACGTGTTTGTTCCTAGCGAAGTATTTTATGACTCTGTGTTGTCACACAGAGTGATACCAGCAAATTTACTGTTAGGCATGGGCCTAAACTTACCAAGTATATCCAGGCCCATCCAAGCAAGCATGCTTAGCCCCAGAATCAGTGCAGCTAGCCTCTGTTTAAGAGAAAAAAAACTCTAATCTCAATCTGTCCTTCTTCCTTTGAGACTGTAGGCTGTGTCCCCAGTCCTTGGCCTCCCCTTGATTCGGGGTTGTGGTGCTGCTTGCCCTCCCTCTGTGGCACTGAGTGCTGCTGGTGTCCTCATCTCGCTCTGTCTCCTCTGGGGTTCTGGGTACTCAATGCACTCCTGCTTTTCCATCTCTAACAGTTCACCTGTGGGGAACGGAGGAGGTTGCGGCCTGGCTTGAGCATCTCAGTCTGTGTGAGTATAAGGATATCTTCATCCGGCATGACGTCCGGGGCTCTGAGCTCCTGCACCTCGAACGGAGGGATCTCAAGGTACTTTCACCATCAGCTCATCAGAAATAGCCGGCTGCATCTGCATGACCTTCTGTGCTGAATGTGCTTGGAAGTGGTCTACCACTGCTCATTCCACGTGCCACCTGAATGAGTTCATTGTCGCCTCATTTTATTTAATCACCATTTCATATCAGCTGGTGTTTAATGGCAGGGAGGTAGAGCAGCTAGTTTGAGAGACTCCCTGTGAGCTCAGCCGCAGCTTCTCGGAGCTGTAAAACAGTCCAGCAATTGAGAGGCTTCGACTTGAATGCTGGAATGGAAGTTTTCAACTTCTCAACTCACATACCATCTTTGCAAAACGTGCTCAGTCTCGTGTTACACCGTACACTGGACAAAAAGATCCATCTTTGTTAAAAGAACAAATGATCGTGGTCTTAGATGAGGCTGTTAGATGGAGAGAATCTTTTGAAGTAATAACAATATTGCTCAGCTCCTCATCTCTTCATCGAGAGATACTCTCTGCAGAGGAATATTAAAAACCCTGGCTCTTTGCATGCACGAGAATTGTGATCATTACGGTGACTTACACATAACAAAAGAAAATCATTGTGTCTTGGTGTGTAGCATTCATTGAATGCTTCTTGGATCTTCCTTTGTGTCTTGGACCAGCTTCCCATTCTGCGTGTCACTGTTGTCTGTGGAGCRGATTCCTCTGCATGTCGTCCAGCCACCGCGTGTGATGTGTTGCATGGTGCCCGAGTGTTCCCACGTGCAGTGATGTGACCAGTGACAGGCTGGTCTGCATGTGTTTGGCTACCAGCTTTGGTCCTTGTGATCTTTGTTCCTTCTCTTCTTCTCCTTTGGCCTTTAACAGTCAAGACAGTTTGCATTTCTGGCTGCTGGTCTGCAGTTGCTTCTTGCCATTGCTTTGTACCTGCTCCTCATGTGCCTGTTCATTACGCTGTCGTGCTCTGGTAGATTTTTGACACGTGGTTTGAGGTTGCATATATAGCCACCAGATCTGTTATCTTTCTRCGTGGTTCCTCCTCTCGTAACTAGCTGCATAGTGTGAAACTACTGCTGGGTGACCTGGAAATTTCTTTTCCCCCTTCCTTCTAAGGTGGGATTTTCTCTTCTCTTGCAGGACCTGGGTGTGACCAAAGTGGGTCACATGAAGAGGATACTGCACGGGATCAAGGAGCTGAGCCGGAATACTCCTGCCAGCGAGGTTTAGCCTCYGTTTTCACAGCCTGTGTCTACCATTCCCCCTAACTGCACAGCAGTCACCTCACGGAGCAGATGTGCTCACAACTGTGTCTACCGAGCAGCGTGAGCGGCTGCTCGGAGCTCATATCAACCAAGYGTGGTGCTACCTTTACCTGTGGGGTACAGCTGCATCCAGGGGAGAGGAGCCTCGTCCGYGTCCCCGGAGCCTCCCGGAGGAGACCTCGCTCTGAAGAGCCCGGCGCGTGTGCGTGGGAAGGGCTGCTTCTGCCAACACTGTTGGACTCCTGAGAATTGCAACACAGCTACCTTTGCTGGATAATTGCGTCGCAGTAGAATTATTCAGTGCAAAAGATACATGGGCCAGTCTTAGTTCAGGAGCATCTGGCAGTCTTTTCAGACCCCAAACTTTCTCACTCATCTGTATGTCACACCTGTRTCTTGAGCAGTGAAGGGGGACAGAGCTTGTCCTTGTGTCCTACCGCAAGCCCCTCCTTCACACACCTGGGGTTGTGCAGGGTTTGCATCAGAAATTCAAAGCCCGTGCAGACCTCCTCTTGCCAGTGAGTACCCGCGGTTCTCCCTCACTTTTGCCTTGCAACAAACAATGCACATGGTTAAAACAGCCTTTTGGCCCAGCCTTGCCACCTTCTGCTGGGCCCGGCTCTCCTCTTTCAGCCAGTGGCAATGGTACAGTCTCAATTTTCAGGCATTACAAACAACTGTTGAGAAATGGTAAGAAAAGTCAAAATTCTGGAAAGCCAGAAGATTACAGAAAATATGGCCTGACTTTCCCCCTTCTGGATTCATCTTCAGGAAACCACAGGACAGGGAGAGGAACACTTAACTAGCTCTTTGGGCCTTACAAGAAGTGCAGAGTTACAAAGTGAGCGATGGGGCACCTCTCTGCCGGCGGGGAGGGAAGCAGCATCACTGGCCGTGGCAGGAGTGCCTTGCTGTCCATTCTGTGCCCGCGTTGTGGCCACAGACAACTGAACTGTTTCTGTGCCTCAGCTCCTAGTGCAGAGAATTGCTTTGGCCTCAAGTGATACAGTCTGACTGTGTTGTGGCATCTTTCCCCTGCCTGGATTCTCGCTGCGTTTCCCTCTTGCTTCTCTCTCTGCTGCTGCCTTGCTCCTTCACTCCAAGGCAGAGACCAGCAAATCTGGGTGGCTCCGTCCTCCCCCCAGGAGAAGCATCGAGCCCTGTAGAAGGTCAGGGTTCCTGCAGGGAGGATTGTAGAAGGGAAGGAGCAGATGAGCATCCTCAGGAAAAGGGGGGTGTGGTGGTTCGTGGCCTTTGCCCCCAGCGGCGGAGTGTGGGAAATCAGTGCCTCTGCACCAGAGTTCCTGGCGGCCTTCGGCCTCGCACCGCGTTGCCTGCACGCGCTGCGCGGCTCTAGAGCCCGGGGACGAGCGTGCGCCGCTCCATTGGCCTCTAGCATTCAGCACAGAGGGGATTCAGGGGCCTTCAGTGCTGTAACGCTTGGAGAGACAGCAGAAGTGTCTCGTTACTTTGTGGGTTTATATGTTTTTATTTTTCTAGTAGTTATTATACAGTGGCACTTGTCTGGCTGCGCATGCTGTGCGTGGCCGTGTACGCAGTGACAGAAAAATTAGGTTCTTGAGGACATCCTTTTATCCCTTATTGTAAGGATTTGCCAGGTTGACAGCAACTCTGTAGTCTGACAACAGTCAAGGTATTTCGCATAAAGACTCATCCCTCAAGATTCTGGGGTTTCATCCTCAGCAAATCCAGGACCCCATTGCCCTCCTGAAGATTTTCCCGAGGATTGTTCCGATTCTCCCTCTCCGTTGCCGTTCGGCCGTGTGTCTCTTAGCCAGGCAGCTCCCAGGGTTCGCTCGTGAGGAGCGAACAGAAGCCCCACGTGTTTGATTTGTCTAGCAAATATTCAGGCAGAAATACTGTGGGGAGTGAGCAAGAAAAACGTTCAGCTTTGCAGTGAGATTGCTCCTTCTTACCTGTCCCTTAGCAGTTGCTTCCGTGGCCGTATTCCGTATTTGTTTTAAGCGCAGCCCCCCCTTTCTGTGCTGAATTCCTGGCGTGTTAAGCAGGTAAGCCTCGTAGATGCATTTCTGCATGCGTTTGTGGAGGCAGCGTGTGCACGCGGGTGAGGAGAGGCCTGCGCGCCGAGAGCTGCCGGCCTCGGCCCCTGCTGGGGCCAGGGATCCAAAGATCCCACGCGTTCCTTAATCCAAGCCATATCCGAGGAGGCCTGCGGGCCGTTAGCCATCTGCCAGAGGGGATGATTTCTGCACAGACCGATCTTCATTTCTCTTACAGCCTGCCTTGGTGGTGTGTTCGCATCCTTCTTTGTGTGCGTGCACGTTTTATCAAAACATTTGCAGCCAGTACATTTCCATCTGTCACCTCCTAAAGGCAGGAGGGAAGTTCTACCTTCTCTTAAGAGCTAGAAAGTGGAATCTACATTTAACCTGAGTGCCTTTGAATCTGTGTTAAGGTTTCTATCCAACAAAAGGGTCATAGCTCCCTGTGTCTTCCCGGGAGGAATGCAGGTGTCTGCTGCACAGATCTCATTTCTGGCCAGCGTCAGTGAGCAGCCAGATTCGACTCCTGGCCCTGTTCCGAGTTGCTCATCTGGCACCTGGGAGCTCTTGGTGGGAGAGAAACTTGAGATAAACAGCGGGAGAGGAAAATACCTGCTGCTGCTTTGCTGAAAGTCGGAGGCTCTCCCGCAGCCTCAGGTAAAGACCTGGCTGGAGAGGAGCTGGAGCTGCCCGCGCGTGCGGCCCTGGCCGCTCTCCCGGGGAAGCCTCGGCCTCCTGCTGCCCCCTCGGCCCTGGCAGCGCCCCCGCACAGCACTGGGGTCCAGGGTGGTGKTCCCCACCACGGCCCTGGGATCGGCCTCAATGACCCGGCCCAGCCATGTCTTACTGTTATTTACACATGTGCATACTAGCTATGAGATTGAGAAAAGGACTGTTTACACTTAATATTTTGTATCTAAAGATGTGCGTACTGTAAAAACTAAGAAAAAAAGGACAGGATGAAAAATGATGTTTTTGTACAGGTGTCGGCAGTGACTGCATGTTTGTTTCATCGTCCACCAACAGTTGTTCCTCAGGGGTGTCCCCGCCATTCCTGTGATCCGCCAAAAGCATAGGGAAGTATCCGAATCCCTGTACAGTCTTGGGAAGAAGGTTTTGTGCCTTAAAAATGGGACCTGCTTCCCTCCTATTTATTGTGTTAATTTATACCGTGATTACCATGGAAACGTCTCTTGTATTTTTTTGTACATACTCTTCACATCGGTTGTTGTAAATACCGTTTTCTTGTATATAAAGTGGCCCGTGTTTCTGAGCTTCCAGTCAGGCCTCCGTGTTGGGATGCGCCTGCGTGGCGGGCGGCCGTGCTGGGAGCCAGCCCATAATAAAGCCAGTGCTGTGACCAGCGCCTCCGTCTCGCTTGCTTCRCGGCTCGGGAGCTTGCCGGAGCCCTTGCGGAGGTGGTGGAACGATAAAGGTGACGGTGGACCGAGTCTGTGTGGCTTCCCATCGGGGTAGTTGGCGTGGGGTACGCGGCATGGTTCACTTTTTATAGCTGTGTCTYTGCAGGGAGCAAGGGTGTTTCCCGAACCATGGGAGAAATGATTTTTCCCACGAGATAGGAAAAGACTGCTGCAAAATGACGCCTGCACCCTTGAAATGTGTGGAGGGTTGGACATGCTGGGCTGTGCAGGCTGGGGACCTGCACATGGGATCAGTGCTCTCCTAAGSGGGGAACAACAAACATTCAGACAACTGCTTTTAAAYGTAGAGCAAAGAACGAAACGCCAAAGAGAAGATCTTGTTCTTCCTCTGAGGCAGGTAACTATCTTAATTTTGCTCTTTATTCGTTTAGGTGGCAGAAGCCACAAAGAAGCAGCCCTCTGTGCCACTTGGCRTCTCATTGCTGCGGGGGCAAGAGCTGCTGCTCAGGCTCCATCCTCTTGCTCTGACTGATACAGCGGGTCTTGCAGAGGACTGGGAAGGGAGGTTTGCTGCCAGGGTCTTCCAGGGGACTTGGAACGCACTCTTTTGTCTTGCTTTTTAGCGTCTCTTGGTCGGTTTGTTTTTAACGTGAAACCTCAGGAGAGTGAAGCAGTCGAGGAGAGCCGCTGCGAGGGATGGAGGTGAGCAAGGAGGAGCCCTGTCATCCCTGCTAGGAAAGCAGCATCACACCGAGGAGGTCAGTTCCTGTCTGCTGGTGCTGTGTGCCTGTCGGGGATGCTYGAGGACGGAACGAGGAGCTTCTGAGGCCGGAAAAAGGGCTCAAAAACACGTTGCAGATCTCTAGAAACGTCTGTCTGAAGAGTTGAAGCATTGGGCTGACTCCCTGAGTGCTCTGTTATGTTGTACATCTTAACTGGCTTCAGAAGAAAAGAAATTGGGGAATTCTCACCTGGCCTGGAAGCTCCGTTATAAAGAGGAGGCCTCTGCTGCCTGATGGAAGGAGTTGAAGTTTTAAATTTGATTTCTGAAAAGTTACATTTTAAGTTGCAGTTTAAGTGTGGAAAAGGGGAACAACTGAGCACTACTGGCCGAGAAGCTCTGAGAGATGTTTCTAGAAGGCTTCCCTTGGGCACAGGAAAAAGACAAAACTTTTAGCTTTTTTATAGGTAGTCAAAGTGAGAAAAATAAACTAGAGTCTACTATGCTCTTTGCAGGCCAGGTTGTAAGGAGGGATATCTTTAAGCTACGAGATTTGAAAGTTCCTTGATCYTTTTTTTGCTTTATGGAGATGTTCTGCTTTGATTGCCAGTGCCTGTTTGTAATGCTGTGAATCACAGCTCTGCACAGAGCTAATTAAAAGGATTTGGAGCTTCCTCTCCTGCCAAGCTTAGGAACTTGCTCAGTTTGTTCCTCTTTGATGATTTTTCTGAGAGAAAAAGGTGTTCTTCTAATGAAAGTGAACCTGGAAAGCAGTGAGCCTGCTCACATAATGATTCAGATTCACACTGTTCCCTGGCAAGCAAGGCTTGGTACAGATCTTTAAGTATCCTGGAATATCTTTTCTTGAATCCCTCACWTCTGGAGTCATAGGTTTCTGTGGGAACTCAGGTGTTTCCTTTTAAATGCCTATTTCCACACTGGTAGCAGGAGAAAGCAGGACTTCAAAGACCCCCAAAATGCAAGGGATGGTGAAGAACTCGATTCATTCTCCCTGAATATCAGTATAGCTTTTCAGAAGAACGCACAGGGTGCCATCATTTTCTAAACATTTCAGTTGGCCATTGACRTGCCTGTTCTGAATTTCCAACCCGCACCAAGTCTTGGAAACAAACGTGTATTCGGAGGCGACGGGCAGCACAGCACTCCTGCTAGACCCCCAGCCAGGCTTTGGGGAGAGCCCGAGGGAGCTTTGCACAACCAGAGCTCTCCTCGGGAGGTGCCAGCGGATGGAGCTGCGGTCCCAGGTACCATCCATTCCCACGAGGGACCGCAGTGGACACGCTGTTGCACAGGTTACGTGCACAGAGTCAGGCACTGTACGAGCTACACACGTGCCCCTGGGAGGGCTGCGTTCAAAAAGGGAACACACGGGTTTGTACCGTTCCTGAGATGTGAAGATCTCAGAATCATTGTGTATTTCCCGTAAAAAATGTTACTATTGCAAATGTGAGTAGAGGATTTCATGTTAATGTGAGAGGATCCAGAACACCAAAAGCTGTTGCCACTAGTGCAGGCTCCTTGCCCTGCCTCCTCCCTGCAGGTGTTCATGGAGGAAATCTGCTTGTGTGGATGGAGGAGGCTTAGTTGCCTTGCTTGTTTTGTGGTGCAAACTTTAAGGAGAAAATAAAGTGGAAGGACTTTAAAAAATAACAATCTGAGTCCCTCTGGGCTGTCTGAGTGCTATGAGAAGACAGGGGGATCTCAGAGACCTCAGCACTGATGTGGTTACACTTACAAACTGAGTGTTTCCATTGCTGTTTGTCAGGAAATCAAAAGCCAAAAATACAGATTTGCAAAAGCCGGAGCAGATGCCCCCGCTGTGTTGCTGCTCCTGCAGGCAGTTGTCAGGCTCCCCTGCGCACTGTTTGCTTAAAAGGAAAGCATTTCATGTCACACCAGAGAGTAAATATCTGAAGTTATGGATTAACTAACTTCCAGCACAGCTAATGGCGGAAGAATAGATCAACCTGACTCGCACTGAATAAAGCAGTAAGTGCTTCAAAAGAATCATATCCTTCAGAATTTCAAAGCCCAAATTTATCTAATGAAGCCTAAAGCTTGTCAAAGGCGTCTGGGGAGCAGGGGAGGATGTTGGGGCAGACCAGCAATGTTCTGGCAGGGCTGCTGAAGGGATGAAGGGGTTGGCYGAGCAGGCTGGAGGGCCTCTAATGAGCAGCTGCTTTGGAGCTGAAATCAAGGAGGAAGTCAAGGCACACGAGCACTCATCGAGGGGGCTGTGCTCAGGCCCAAGCTGGCCTGGGTTAGCAGAAGCTATTTCCAGCAAGGTGCCCACCTTCATGGCTGTCTTTTCTTCCTTAGGTGGTTCCTGCTGCAGAATGTGGAAGCTCATCACCATGGGAGTGCTGCTGGCAGCCTGCTCTTCACCAGCAAATGGTGGCTCAAGTAAGTTGCTGGTTTGGGAGGCAGCCTTCACCCTCTTCAGTTGCTGCCAGGGCGYTGGGTTTGCTGTCAGCGGCAGGGAGCGGGTTGATCACTCCTCGTCGAGGTTGGATTCCTCCCTGGCAGCGTTTTATGCRGGGTGCTGAGCGCCGTGGCTGCTGGACCTTGCCGTGGTGAGCACCATGAGCTGTCCAAGCAGGAGCACGGCAGAGCTGGGGCTGGGGGCCTCCCTCCAGGCAGAAGCCCTGCTCTCGAGGCCGGAGCCCGCGGTGCACGCGGCTTTTTGGCTCTTTGCAGAGGGCAACCAGCAGGCCGGGGGGACAGCGGGCTCTGCGCGCTGCCCGGACAGCCTTGGGCAGGAGGGCACCTCACAGCCACCCCTGGAGCAGACCCGCCGCACAGGCGGTGCCAAGATCCAGCAGTACCCTTAACACCATATGCTGGTGCCAGGCTGGCATGCCCGGCACGGGACAGGAGCATAAATTCCAAGTTCTGTAGTACCAGCTTAGGGAGAAATGCACGTGGACACAAGGCAGAGCCCAGGCCTTTGGCAGAGGTACAGTGCTGCTGTTAGTCACTGTGTAGAGCCCGAGGAATTCTGCTAGCACCAATTTAAAATGCCTTTGGAAAACAAGTCACTGCCTACTTGCCAAGTTTGTCTGTTCCAGCTGTGTCCACGGCGACTTCTCCTGGCACTGAGGTGGCTCTGGAGCATCTCTCACCTCGTTTTAGCAGTGCTCCCCTCAGGCCGTGGCGGCGCTGGCAAACAGGCAGCAGGTTACCCCAGCAGTGCTGCACTCGCTCACAGCAAAGGTCCAAAGTGCCTGAGCATCAGCCCGAGCCCTGCACCTCCAAGGGTTCCCTGCTTGTGCTCTCATGCTTTTGCCTCTAGTATTTTACAGCGACAAAGATGCAAACAGAGTCCTGAAAATCCAGAAGCGGGCAAATTCGTTTTTGGAAGAGCTCAAGCCAGGCTCTCTGGAACGTGAGTGCAAAGAGGAACAGTGTGACTTCGAGGAAGCCAGTGAGATATATGAAACCAGAGAAGCAACAGTAAGTTGTTTCTGAAGGGCTTAATCTGACATTTAACCGGTCACTTGTTTGTTTTCTTCAAGTATTGCCCTGCAGGGCGTAGGAGAGCTCACTGTCAGTGCTGAACACACATCACCCCTGGCCCTTAAGGYATAGGCGTGTTTTTGGAAGTCACTGTGTTACAACAGTTGTCAAGTTGCCGCCTGTTCTTGAGCCACAGTGCTTGGTTGCTCACATACACCCTGCCAGACCCAGTCATGAGATTTAGGTCCCAGCCAGGTGATCTCAATCCCTGCTTGATTTTTCTTGCCACAGCTGATTTTTTTACAGTCTTTTGCCACTCTTGTCCACRCTTGCCCGCTCCCCTGCTCTGGCCGCCTTTCAGTGCATCTCCACAATCTCACAGCAATGCCTGACAAGTGTTTCTGCTCATCACTAGCTCTTCTTCCCTCCTCCAAACCTCACCTTCTCAACCGGACACTAAATTTATCTTCAGCATCGCTGGTTCCTGCACCWTTTCACCCCCACTTGACGTGTTAGCTTGGGCTTGCTCTTAAGTTGCATTAAGTGCAGTAAACGCTGCATCAGGCCCACCGTGCTGTCCCTCAGAGCACAGACCTCCGTCACCGCCTTCACAGCAGTGCCTGTGTGTTGCCTGACTGCCAATGTAGCTTGGTGCCCCTCAAGAGAGGTGTTGCCCCTGGGGAAGTGCCAGGGAGGCAGCGAGAGGCCTCGGTGAGCGGCGGTGCTGCCGAGCCTGGGCAGCGCCGCGGGGTCCATGTGGGGCAGGCGGTGCTGGGAACACGTGAGCCTGGGCCCTGGCCAGGCCTGCTGCTTTGCAGCGCCCCTCACGACACCGGCACGAAGAGGAGTCCCATSCTGGTGACTGGCTGGGCGGTGTTGGCCAAGGCCACGGAACGCTGCAGATCACTTCTCGTGAAAAGCGCTTTTAGCCTAATGTCGGTTTTGTTTCCCCACAGCTGGAGTTTTGGAGCAAATATATAGGTAAGTAAAAAGACTTTCCTGACGGTCTCTCTGTGTTTCCTCGTGGGTAACTCGTGTTCTGCTGTGATGTACTGCACACTGATTCAAATCCTCCTTTCTTTAGTGGGGTTTGCGAAGCACGTCTTTCGGTCCCATCCCATCCACAGCGCCCCCAAATCTTCAGCTGCCTCTGTGCCTCTCATCGCTCATCTCTCTGCAGTTAGACCTCTGCTCAGAGGCGATGGCTGATGTGCCGGCCGTGCCTGGCAGGGTCCAGAGCAAAGGCCCCACTTTGACCCATAGCCCCCCATAACTTGTCTTTGTCTCGTCTGCCTCATCTGCTCTTTCTTTCCYTTCTGTTCCACTCACTCGGGGCCCAAAGAAAGCGCTAGGTCCCTGGGCCAGCGCCTCACTTATCTCCATTTGGTGGCAGAAGGTCTGCCTAGGGCACAGCCTGGGGASGATCAGGTGTTGGTGCTCCTGCTGCTGGATTCCCAATCTCCTCCTGGTGCTTTGGGGCTGCTGCAGGCGCCAGGCTCTGGGTTTTCCTGCATCTCTTCCAGATGGAGATCAGTGTGAAACACAGCCGTGTTCCAATGGCACCTGCAAGGACAATATTGGGAAGTTTTCCTGCATCTGTAACAAAGGCTGGGAAGGAGATTTGTGCAATTATGGTAATGCTGTCTTTAATCTACTATAAAATAACATTATTAGTGGTAGGGATCTCGGGGTATAGAGAAAAACATTTGGGCACTTGCCAGGATACTTGCTCTCATTTCTGATGGGTTTTCTCTGCTTCCTCATGAGGTGGTAGAAGGGTTAATGGTGTTTACCTAAAGCAAAATGAATGTTGTGTTGTCGTGGGCTAAGTGTGGAGATTTGAAACATCTCAGCTGTTTACATATACCAGAAATAATACTGAAAAACAGAAACTTCAGTAGTTTTAGACCTCTCAGTACAATGCGTGACAATAAGGGGCCTTTTAACCTCAGGGAAACATAGTTGCACTGTGACTGTTTCTTCCTCGAGGAGACACTGGCTCAGTGACGGGCATGGGTGACACCAGCTSCTGGCTCACTCGCTCTCATGGCAAGGAGCGTTTTCACCCTTCAGTCCCTACCAGCCTGGCAGGAAYCCCTGTTTTTTCCTGTGACTTTTCGTCTTTCCAACTTGTCTTCTCTCTCTCGCTCTTCCCTGCTTTTCCGCAGTGGTCAAATACACCAACTGCTCCGTGGACAACGGGGGCTGTGAGCACTTCTGCYGGGAGGAGCCCGCGAGCCAGCGCCGCCGCTGCAGCTGCGCCTCGGGCTACCACCTGGCCAGCGACCACGCCATGTGCGAGCCCGTGGGTAAGGAGAGGGTGGTCCGTGCTCCAGGTGTGACAGAGCGTTAGTCAGGGTGAAATCAGGGCCTTTTGCACCGTTATTTACATGGCACCTCCTGATAATTTCCAAAGCGCTGAATGGGGAGTAACTGCACAGGGAGCATTCTGTGTTTCCCAGCTCCACATCCAGTTTATGGCCATTAAGAACCCAACCTGCACCTCTGTTTACCTCCTGGAGTCATGTAGGGGGATCAGAAAGTGCCTCCTCCACAGAGCAGCGAGGGGCTTCCACAAAGCCACTAGCAACACAGCTTAGTTCAGAGGGATGGGAGAAAAGCTTTCGGAAGCATTTTGTTGTTGCAGTTGTTGTTAGGCGACCCGGCCTTTGCTAGTTAACTGCTTTGCATCTTTCCTAGTGGAGTTCCCCTGTGGAAGAATGAAAACGGAGTAYGTTGAAGCCGAGGCCGGATTCAAAATTCGGCTCATTGGGGGGAAACAAGGAAGAAAAGGAGAGAGCCCTTGGCAGGTGAGGAGAGAAAGAGCTTTCATAACGAGGTATTTCCAGGACCACTCTCCCTGCTCAGCTGCTCCAGGGAGGCTCCTAAATTACCAATAGTGGCATCACACAAAGCTAAGGTTCCCTTGCTTAGATTTTTCAAGAGTAACTTGGAAGTTGAAGTGCCAGATAAGGGCTTCATCCCTGCAGCTCACGCAGCCTGCTGCGTGCTGCAGCTGCCGTAGAGCAGTAAGGTAGGAGCTGAAGATAATCTTCCTGTCATTTCTTTGTGTCCTTACCAGCTTTATCTGTCCTGTGTTCAAGCTCGCAGGTTAAGTCAGCAGAATATGTCATAATTTCACAGAGCAAGTTGGGATGTCAGGGAGAAAGAGTCTGAGACCTTACAGAGCGTGACATGGAACTTGTGAGTGCCTGTACTCAGAACCTGGCACCCCTGAGAGCCCTTTGACACCATCACGTGGGGTTTGCAGCCTGAGACAGCCTTCTGTTCATTGTGTTTTGTGGCATGTGGTGGTCAGAAGAGTGATCCCCTCCTTTGAGCCGAGTTTCAAAGTTCTTGAAGTATCAGAGAGCTTCCTTGTAGTCGCCAACATTGTTCCATGCTGATTTGGAGGAAGCCAGCCCTCCCTTGCGAGGAATACTCATAACCTTGTTTTCCATAGAGATTTTCTGACTTCGTAGTGCTTTTGTCCCGCTGAAGAGCTTTAACCTCAGCAAACGTCACGTGTTTTAGTGCCTGATGCATTTAGTGTCCTTTGCAAGCAGGAAGAAGAGCATGCACCTTTGTGAGCATCACAGCCTTCCTGTGAGGTGAGACTTCTCTTTGCTTATTTCAGATTATGCTGCAGAACAACAAAGGGAAGTTTCTGTGTGGGGGCGTTCTCATCCATCCGTCCTGGGTGCTAACAGCAGCACACTGCACCGAAGCAGGAGAGGAGCTCAAAGTAAGACTTGGTATGGAAAAAAAAATCTATTCCTTTTTTTTTTTTTTTTTTTTTTTTTTTTAACTCAACTCTTCCATTCCTAAGGTTTGTCATCTCAGGAGAAAGATCACTAGGTTATAAAAGTTTAATCCTTTAGGATGCAGGAGGGGTCGTCTAGGTAGCGTTTTAACATACGCTTTAGCCCAAATGAAAAAGTAGTAGTAAAACCATGTGATTGCACTCGAGCAGCTTTCTAATTCATATGAGAGTGTGCCAGTGTCTTCTGAGCATTACTGTCTATCTTGAAGATGGGAAAGTTAAGATTATCTGTGCTCTCAATTTTGGATTCTCATCTAGGAAAGCTCTTATGCATTTGTCTTTCTGCTAGCAAAAATACCTAAGGTCACCCCAATGCTAAAGAAACTCCTCCTGCCAAAGGGTGTGTTCAAATCTTGAGCCCCAAAGAAGAAGCTGAATGTGCATCAGCACGACAGGCCTCTTCCTACCTTTGATATATTTGAACACCTTTCCTTAAGAGAGTTGGTAGAGAGGAGGAGAGATGCCACAGAACAGCAACCCTGACGTGATCTGTAATGCAGCCAGTCATCACCAGCACTGCTGCTCTTGAGCGTGACAAAACATGCATGGAGTGCAGCACGACTCCTGGTCAACAGACAGAAATAATCAGTGCTGCGCTCAAATACAGCTTCTGTTGGTTTAGATTTTGTGACCTACCGTGGGGGACATTAGCAGGGTATTAGCTGACCTGCTCTCTCTCTGCTGCAGTGGAAAGGTGGTCTCAGTAGCTCTCAGGTCGCAGGGTTATTTCACTTGTCCATACACACTTGTCGATGCCACGGACGTTGAAGGGACATACGGATGGATGTGTTTATGCCCATCTTCACTGCTCGACACAGAGCATCAGCAGAGCAGCTGCACTGTTCCCTTGTGTTCTCTTAGGGCCAGATCAGCTAGTTTTTCTGTAGAGGGATTTCACAGTAGAAGTAAAGGTGGTGGTTTGGAAATATACACAGGGACTACATACCCACAACACACCTTGGAGCCCTTCAGGTTACGAGTAACTTTCTTTCCTTCGGAGAGTTTGCTCATATTCCCTTTTCAGATTCTGTTGAGCCCTAAGAAGCAGGTGCAGGTTACTTGATAAAGGGTCTTGGAGTGGCTTGAGGGGGCTAAAGCAGCTGCAGAAGGCTGCGTTGACCTCCTCCATGGTGCTTGACGTAACTCTGAATGGAGCTGCAAAGGGACAGGCCTGCAGGTCACAAGGATGAAAATGCTGCCTCRGGGATGAGGATGGCCTCATACTGACAATGGCCTCAGATCCCTCCAGCTGGCTCGCGTACTGCAGATGTTGCTGGAGATGTGTCCCGTGTGACAAACTTTCACCTGGCATAGCCAGACCTAAAGATCTGCAAGAAGGAAACGAGGGCTGGCATCTGTTGAGAGAGTCTTCAACACCCCAAATGAAAAATATGTAAATAGAATAAAATAAAATAAAAGATGAAAAATTTCAAAGGCTGAAAAAGGGGGCGGCACTGAGAACCTTGGTTTGAGAAGGTTATTTTTTGGGGCTCAATTGAAACTCAGGAGAAACACACAAATGTGGAAAATACACATAATTATATTGAATATACAGAAAAAAATTGTAGTGTAGGGATGATGATTGAGAAGGAGGTGACCAGAACTCTGAAATGACTGAGAAAGGAAGTGCTCTTGGCCAGGGGTCACACACGTGTCCTCTCRTGGAGCTGTTTGGAGGGAGGAACTTGAGCAGCAAGAGCTGCCGTCCCGACCTTGTCACCGGCCTGGAGGGTGCAGGGCCTCGCAYGGAGCACGTGGAGGCCCCAGGAGACGAGGCCCCACTGGCCTCTGCAGCCTCTCGGAGGCGGCCTCGCCACGGCGCATCTGCAGCTGCAGCAGAGCTCCCAGCGCGGCACGACGGAGGGGACCGCGGCCCCGGGAACCCAGCACACCCTGGGGATGAGCGCGGCGAGGGAGCCGCTCCAGAGACCCTGCGCCACGGAGAAGAGGGCTCCGGGCAGGGAAACAAGCTGATCTCTGTGCCGTGGCTGGACAAGAGGCAGGCTCCCGGAGCTCTGCTGCCGTGCAGCAGCACCAGCAGAGAAGCTGCAGAATTGAGCTGGTACCGTGTATGCGCCGCTCTGGGGCCGTGCAGCTCCGGGGCTGCCGGGGGCCTTTCAGCCGTGGGACTGGCCTCTCCCCATGGCCCTGTGTGATCGTGTCGGCTGCCGCAGAGACRCGGTGAGCTGCAAATGGAAGATCCAAGCTGCACTTGAGACAGAGAGGAGAATCCATTTCTGGAGTTAGTCCCGGTGCACCTCGGGACTGCTGGTCACACGGCTACTGCTAAAGCTGCAGACACCCACTCCTTTACAGGCACCAAGGAGCTGGAATAGCCCCTTAGAGGTTCCAGCAAGTGGAATTCACACTGAAGTGACGCACTTCAGAGGCCCAGGAATGGTCACTCGCTCAGAGCAGCTGCTCCTGCGTCTTGGAGTCGGCACCTGAAAGGACTCCGGACAGAAATGAGCGTGCATGGATGCCTGAGTGTGCTCAGTGGAGAGACCTCAAGAAGGAGAAGTGCTTCTGTCAAGCACATGCTGACGAAGGCAGTGACAGCATCTGGCACCGGCTGCCAGCACAGCTCAGAAACCGCCAGCCCAGCAAGCACAACACGTCGTTTCTTGTGGCTGTCAYGGTCCCGTTGGACAGATCCGTGTCTGTCTTTCCCACTGAATCACATCCAAACGACTCGTTTCCCTGGAAGGCCCTTTTCAGCTTCGCTTCCTATTAACTTCTGCATAACTGCTTGGCCCGTGAAGTGGCCCTGATTGTGTAGCACAAATAATGATGGAGAAGTCTTAAGTGGTCAAAATCTCTTTAAAATAYAGATCTAAGGTTTTAAAAGGAACCTTTATCTTTCAGATTCTGAAATTTAGTCATTCTTGCACTGGATATACAGCAGAAAGCTCATGTATTATCTGTTGCTTGATCTCCCAACTTCTAATGGTGACTTCAAGAAGTTTATTTTCTGGCTCAAGAAGATCTCTCCAGTTGCCTGCAGGATACTGTGATACAGACATAACATGACAAGGCAGGAATATTTCAGTTTCTCAACTGATGGCCCTACTTCTAGAGTACTAATTCATTTAGTAATATTCTTTCATGCTACAAATAAAGAGGAAAATGCAAAGACTGCAAATAAAGTGAATGCTTTCACCCTACAGCCCAAGTGGATTAAAGTCTATGGTGCAAGGGTATTAAAAGCCCAATGTAGACTTCTAAATCCAGCGACTTTGGTGTTGAAGGTGTGGGAAGGCTCCCTGTCAAGAGAGCTCAGAAAGCCCAGGAATGTCTCTCATCTTGTTTGCTTTTGCAGGTAAATATCACCGGTTCCGAACTGAGGCAGAGGAGCAGATCATTTGGGTTGACAAATACGTGAGCCATGAAAATTACAACAAGGAGACCTCTGATAACGACATAGCCATGCTGCACCTGGCTGAGCCCGTGGTCTATAGCAAGTACGTGCTCCCCATCTGTCTGCCCAGCAGGGACCTGGCCGAGCAGGAGCTGACCAAGAAAGGGACGCAAATGGTGATAACTGGCTGGGGCAGCACGAGCGACGGCGCCAAGAGGAATTACTCCACTGTCCTCAACTACATTGAAATCCCCATGGTTCCGCGGGACGAGTGTGCCCAAGCGATGAGGTTTGCCATCTCCGACAACATGCTGTGTGCTGGGAGCTTAGGGGACAGGAAAGATTCCTGCCGCGGGGACAGCGGAGGCCCCATGATCACCAAGTTTAAGGACACTTGGTTTCTGGTGGGACTGGTGAGCTGGGGTGAAGGCTGTGGGAGCCTGGAGAAATTTGGCGTCTACACCAAAGTCAGCCAGTACCTGGAGTGGATCCAGCACCACATAGACCAGACGTCCGCCCTGGCCAGCGGCTGAGCCCGCGAGGCGAGGGCGGCTGCCGCGTGCCCCGGGGCAGCGCGCGCCGCACGCCACTGCCAGCGCTGCAGTATTAAATATTGCATCCCCGTGAACCTGCTGTGCTCTTCTCCTTGCTGCGTGCTCCGGTGTACTTGTGGCAGGGGCCTGCTTAGCCCCGCCGCAAAAGCCACTAGAGGTCTGCAGTTATGCAAAATAATAATAATTCCAAGCTTTTGCGTGTTCTTTTCATCTTAACGGCTGTGAATTTCTTCTAATTAGTAAGATAGGGAAATTGAGGCTAGATGAGACTATTTGCGCTAGTGAATGCAGTCTTTTGTAGGCAGTATCAGCATATCTAGTATTTACTGATAAACTTGGGTTTTGTGTGTGTTTACATCTATATTTGTATATATTTGAGTGCATCAGCAAATAAAGACACGTAGCACCAATAAGGCTACAGGAAGGAGCGACAGTCAAAATTAAGTTTACTGCAGTCACAGTTCTTGCTTGTTTTTAAGCTTAGCACTTAACCTGCTAAAATTAATTAATCCTGTAGAGAAAGGTGACCCAGCTGTGGTGCAGTGACACCCGTCGCTAACATCTTAGCGAGGACTTGGACCCATTTTGGATGAGTAATGAACATCAGCAGTTGTGGTGTGAGATTAAAAAAAGAGGAAAAAAAAATCAGGGCTGCAAAAACACATCAGAAATTGCAAGAAATGCAATGTGCTCCCAGGCACAGGGGCGTCGTATCAGTTAAATCTGTGGGCCTGGCCTTGCTGATGGCCAAGCTGCCCGCTGGGCAGGTGCTGGGGCTGGTTCTTGCCTAAAAGCAGCAGCCGGCCCCGGGGAGGAGATGGAGCCTCTCGCAACAGGAGCAGCTTTTCCTGACAGAAGCTGCTGCCAGGGAGCGACCTGGTGTTGGAGGCTGTTTTTAAAGGCAGCTTTTTAAAGCCCTGCSTGTGCATGAGTATAGAAACACGCATTTTATTTTGATTTTGGATTCCAGGTGTGTTTCACGGAATCCAGAAGGTTGTTTCTCTTCTGTCAATATTTGTGAGTGGTTAATGATCAATCTCTTGACCTCATGGCTYTTCCTGGTGTACATCCAATTCTCTCTTCTGTCTTCCCTTAAAAAAAAAACAGAAAAGAAAGGAAAAGAAAAAAGTGAGTATAATTGCATGGATTTCTATAAAAGTGAATGCCTTCTGAGTCCTGTGTTTTTGGAAGATGACACAAATAGCAGAAAGAGAGTGACTGTCAACCGCTGGCAAAATTATTTAACCTGTGAAAATAATACGAAGAAGTAGAAACTTCTCTCTGTTAACCTTTACTGCCAGGTAGGTGGTGATCGTTTCCTAATGAAAGTTCTGGCACAAGGTCCTTTGAAATGGGCCGGTGGGAGCCGCAGAGCAGCCACCGTGGTGGGAAGGCGGCCTGAGGGCTGCGGCCGCCGCGGGGAGCGGGTCCGGCCCGCGGCCCCCGCGCCGCTCGCCCGTCGCTGAGCGGCCCCGGCGCCCCGCGCGGCGCCCCGAACTGCCCCGCGCCCTCCCCGGGGCTGCGGGACGGAGGGAGATGGGACCGCAGTGCAGCCGGGCGCTGCTCCTCCCGCTGCCTTTCGCCCTGTGCCCTGGTCCCAGTGCAGTGATTCCCTCTCCTCTTCCCGCAGAGCGGAGCAGCCAGCGGCCGCAGGGGCCTCAGCTCCCTGCRATGGAGAGAGGTCCCTCCCTCGTGGCGCTTCTGCTGCTCATGAGCTCCGTCCACGGCGCCTCGCCCTTCGCCTTCTCAGGTGGGTGCTTCTCAACTTGAACTTCGTTGTCTTGCAGTGGGCAGCCTGGCAGCCAAACTGCAACCACCTTGTTCTGAACACAAGGAAGAAATGAACATTCGCTTATTATTAGGGGAGGAATAACCAGTCGTTACTTCCTTCTTAGGCCACCGTCCTGTTGACAGTTCTTCTCTTTTCAACAGTGGAACCAAAATTCAAGTTACTTTTGCAAAGCCRGGCCGTGTTTTCAAACTTGGGAAACTAAATTTAGGCACTTGAAGCATATATTTGGTTTTATGTTGATTTTCCTGCTACTRTGCAAGTTTTGGAAACAAAAGAGCTTTACAGCAGAGTGCAGGAACCTGAGGGCTGGTGTGGTGGCCTTGCAGAGGAAGGAGGAATAGAGAACAGCAGAGAGACATCACAAGACAAAACACCTCTCAATAGGCAGCACCTCTGTCTGGTGGTACCTGGAGGAGCTATTGCCTTTAAAGAGGACCTCAGAAATCAAGAACTGACAATGGGCAATTCACTGATGGGAGTGAAAGGTGTTTGCCCCTTACTAGGCAGCCGAATCTGCCCAAAGCTGCTCTTACTGTGAGCTGTTTCTCTTTGCCTAGAGGTGAAGCAATTTAATATTTCTGTAGAGCTCAGTAATTGATAAGGATACTTGTCCTGCAACTGCAGAGAAGTGCTGCTTTATGGCCCATGTGCCAAACTGGGGTCTTTGCACAAGGGTTTGACTTGTGTCTAGGACACTGAACTGAGGAGGAAAGTGGAGCACTGGTAAGAGGCTTGGTGTGGYTTTGGGAAGCTGGGTCACATTCACAAAGGAGCTTTGTCTCTCAACACTTCCGAGCAGTCTGTTTTGAGTCGAAGGGCTCAGGATGTAGGGCTGCTCTGCTGGACATCCAATACAAAGGTAAGAATCTCTGAACCAGGTCTTAGGGCTCCGTGCAGCTTCTGTGCATTAGTATCGAGGGGTGTTGGTRGGGCCACGTTGTGTCCGTATGTCCGTGAGTGGGACGGGAGCTACAGCGCTCCCAGGCCTGTCTGGAGCAGCCCAGGGCGTGGTGGCATCTCAGGTGTCATTAGAAACTTGGGAGACAACTGAATGGCCAAGACCTTCYGCATCGCTGCAGAAACGGGCTGCTCCTGCAGCCCCTCCTGGCCGCCCGGCCCCTGGGCTGGGCTTGCAGCCAGAGATGTGCCGAGGCCTCGCTGGAAACAGCAGCAGCACCAGTCTGCACGCTGGTGTCGTGGTCCCTCTTCTGGCCCTTCCTCCTGAACTTGCAGTGCAGGGGTGGGCAGGGAGCTGCTGGGTAAACTCAGTGAGAAAACGAGCACCTATGTAATGTGGAAGAGGGGCCAGGCCACATGGGAAGAATATAGGCACATTGTCAGAGAGTGCAGGGATGCAACGAGGAAGGCCAGGGCCCGTCTGGAATTAGAGTTAGTGAGGGGTGCCAGGGACAGCAGGAAGGGCTTCTGTAAATACAGCAACGGCAAGAGGAAGACAAGGGAAAATGTCAGTGCTCTGCTGCATGGGGAGGTGCCCTGGTGACGGAAGATGCTCAGAAGATAGAGGTACTAAATGCTGGTAGAGGTACTAAATGCTGCCTTTGCCTCTGTTGTTACTGCTGAGGCTGGTCCCCATGAACTGCAGAGCGCAGCTAAAAGAGGGAGGAAACAGGCGAGAGGAAGACTCTCCACTGATCAAGGTTTGGACTAGGGATTATTTAAGCAAACTAGCCCCCCATAAATCTATGGGCCCCGATGGGAGACACCCAAGAGTGCTGAGGGAGCTGGCGGGGGTTATTGCTCATTCGTTCCCCATCATCTTGGAGAGGTCCTGGAGAGCAGGGGAGGTGCCAGAGGACTGGGAGAAACCAACATCACTGCAGCCCTCAGAAAGGGCAAGAGGGAGGAGCCAGGCAACTACAGGCCGGTCAGCGTCACTTCCGTCCCTGGAAAGGTGATGGGCAACTCATCCTAGAGAGAATCTCTAGGAATGTGAAGGAAAAGGAGGTGATCAGGAGTGGTCAGCATGGATTCACCAAGGGGAAGTCATGTCTGGCGAACCTAATAGCCTTCTATGATGGGATGACTGGCCGGTTGGACGAGGGCAGAGCCAAGGATGTTGTCTACCTTGACTTCAGCAAGGCTTTCGACACCGTCTCCCATAACATACTCATGGGGAAGCTCAGGAAGCGTGGACTGGACGAGTGCACAGTGAGGTGCATTGAGAASTGGCTGGATGGCAGAGCCCAGAGGGTGCTGATCAACRGGGTYGAGTCCAATTGGGGTTGAGTCCAGTTGGAGGCCTGTGGCGTCCCCAGGGGTCAGGCCTGGGCCCAGTGCTGGTCAACCTGTTCATCAATGACCTGGACGAGGGCACACAGGGCACCCTGRGCAAGTCTGCGGAYGATCCCAAGCTGGGTGGAGTGGCCGACACTGCGGAGGGCTGYGCTGACATCCAGAGGGACCTGGACAGGCTGCAGAGTTGGGCACWGAGGAACCTCATGAGGTTCCACAAGGACAAGGGCAGGGTCCTGCACCTGGGCAGGAATAACCCCAGGCACCAGCACAGATTAGGGCTCGACCTGCTGGAGAGCAGCTCACAGAGAGGGACCTGGGAGTCCTGGTGGACACCAAGTTAACCAGGAGGCAGCAGGGCCCTCGTGGCCAAGGAGGTCAATGGGCTCCTGGCTGCATCAGGAGGATGTTGCCAGCGGGGCAGGGAGGGATCCTGCCCCTCTGCTCAGCTCTGGGGAGGCCAAACCTGGAGCATTGGGGGCAGCTCTGGGCTCCCCAGGACAAGAGGGACGTGGAGCTTCTAGAGAGGGTCCAGCGAAGGGATGAAGATGTTTAAGGGACTGGAACATCTCTCATATGAGGAGAGACCGAATGAGTTGGGCCTGTTCAGCTTGGAGAAGAGAAGACTGAGAGGGGATCTGATCAACATGTATAAGTACCTGAAGCAGGAATGTAGGGAGGAAGGGGCCAAGCTCTTCTCAGTGGTGGCCAGTGAYAGGACAAGGGGCAATGAGTATAAGTTGAAACCCAGGCAGCTCCATCTCCATGTGAGGAAGAATGTCTTCACTATGAGGRTGCCAGAGCCCTGGAACAGGCTGTCCAGGGAGGCTGKGGAGTCTCCTTCTCTGGAGGTCTCTCAAACCCACCTGGATGCCACCCTGTGCCATGTGCTCTAGGGAGGCAGGTTGGTCTAGATGATCTCTAGAAGTCCCTTCCAACCTCAACYGTTCTGTGATTCTATGATTTCTAAGTACAATGCAATATTTTTCTCATAAGAGCAATAAAATCTTTAATAATGAGTGATATTTTTGTGGATCGTCAGAGCTTCTTATGTTTTAAGCCCTTTTCAAAGGAGAAAGCAATCTAAGACTATTCAGTATTCTTTCGCACAGTAAATTTTTACTGTGCAGGTCACTGGCATTCAGAAAAGCAACAACAACAAAACCCTGTAGTTCAAACTGATGTAGTTTGAGGGTTTTTTCCAACTGAACTGTCTAGTGATCAAGTCTACTGATCAACTGAACTATTTAAAGTAGCAGTGCCTTTTGTTGGAACACAGACTTTTAATTTCCCTTTGGGTGACTTAAATATATTTTTCCCCTCTCTTCTTTATCTTAATTTGTCTAACTGCAAGAATACCTGACTGTTACTGATGGTTTGTCCTCCAGTATGACTAACTGTTCGGTTTTGCCTATCATCTAGTGTTTATGAGGAAAGATAAAGCCCACGAAGTGCTGAAAGTCCAGAAACGCGCCAACTATTTCCTGGAAGAGATTCGCCCAGGGAACCTGGAGAGAGAGTGCATCGAGGAGAAGTGCTCTTTCGAGGAGGCCAAGGAGATTTTCCACTCGCGGGAGAAAACGGTGAGAAACTTCATTTTGAGGAGGGGGGAAAAAAAATGTTTAAACAGTCTCTGAGATCTAAGGCATTGCTCTCAACCTGAGGTTCCACAGACAGATAGGCCATACGCTCTACCTGAAAGAGATTTAACAATAGTAAAAATAGTCCACCCTTTTTAGTTGTGTTGTTACTCTAAGTTGCACCTGCCTAATTGGCTAGGAAGACACAGTGCAGAAGAGGTGGGGATGTAAGTTAGTTTTTGATAGAATATCTATCAGAGGTCCTSGTCAACAGGATGACTGAGGGCTGGCCAATGTGATGCCCTTCTACAGGAAGGGTCAGATGGAGGATCCGGGCAGCAACAGGCCCTTCAGCCTGACCTCGGTATTGGGGCTCGTGCTGAAGCAGATTGTCCTGAGGATGATCACGGAGCGTTTGAGCAACCACCGGAGGTCAGGCCCAGCCAACATGGGTTCATGAAAGGCAGGTCCTGACTCACCAAGCTGCTCTTCTTCTGTGAGCAGGTGACCTGCCTAGTGGGACGTGGTCTGCTTAGACTTCAGGAGGCCCTTGCCACCRTCTGCCACTGCCTTCTCCTGGAGAAGCTGGCAGCTCGTGGTGGTGAATGGAGTTAAATCTATGGCTGGCGCCCAGTCAYGAGCAGTGTTCTCCAGGGGCTGGTGCTGGGGCCAGTCCTCTTCAATAACTACCTTTATCCACGATCTCRATAAGGGGATTGGGTGCACCCTCAGCAAGTGGGCAGATGACACCAAGGTGGGAGGAAGACTTGATCTGCTTTGAGGGTAGGATGCATCTAGAGAGGGGGCTGGACAGGCTCGATCAACGGGCAGAGACTAATTGTAAGACATTAAGTAAGGCCATGGGCTGGGTCCTGCGTTTGGGCAACAACCACCCCAYGCAGCACCAGAGGTTTGGGGCAGAGTGGCTGGAGAGCCGTGCGGCAGAGAAGGACCAGGGAGTGCTGGTCCAGAGCCGGCAGGACAGGAGCCACAGGGAGCCCAGAGGGCCAAGGGCCTCCTGGCCGGTATCAGGAACAGGGCAGCCAGCAGGAGCAGGGACGGGATCGTCCCGCTCTGCGCGGTGCTGGTGGGGCCGCCCCTCAAACAGTGTGATCACCTTTGGGCCCCTCACTGCAAGGACATGGAGGTGCTGGAATGGGTCCAAAAGAGGGTAACGCAGCCGGTGAAGAGGCCRGAGCCCAGAGGTTACGAGAAGTGGCTGAGGGAGCTGGGTTGTGTGGTCTGGAGAAGGGGAGGCTCTGGGGAGCCCTTACCATGCTTGTGATGAGGTAGGGGGGCGTGTGTGAGTGTGGAGGTTGATCTCTTCTTCAAAATAACCCYGGGCAGGAGCAGAGGAAATGGCCTCAAGTTGCACCAAGGGAGGTTCAGGTTAGACATTAGGAGGAATCTCTACACGGAGAGCGTGGTGAAGCCTTGRAACAGGCTGCCCAAGGAAGCGGTGGAGTCACCATCCCACCAAAATGCGCTGCATGGTGATGAACAGAGCAAACCTGTTTCTTTTTCCATGTGTTCAGTAATCAATCAGTGCACCACTTTTTACTGTTTACTTTATTTGTGATTTCTTCTTGCAGATGGAGTTCTGGTTCAATTACAAAGGTACGTCAGAATATGTCCTTTTTTTTAATTTCCTATCTATTTCTTCTGTTCTTGCTGGGGGCAAAGAGCTACATGAAAGCCTTAAGCCAGGCTTCTCCAAAGTCTTCCAACTGGACTTATCCCATCCCTCCTGTTAGGTTTAAATCCCTGCAATACAAATCCCTGCAAGAATGGTGGAGTCTGCAAAATAAGGCACTACACCTACTTCTGCATCTGCCCACCCAACTTCGGAGGCGACAACTGTGAACAAGGTGAGTGCAGGAACACAAATCATGTGGGTTTTTTTTTTTTTTTTTCCTGGACTTGTATGAGATTCACTCTCTTGTGACGTTACTGGAGGCTTTTTTTCCCTACTCTGTGTCATAATTCCTTTCCTAACGCCAGCCGTGGCTGCTGTTGGTGTTCCTGGCAGTCCCCAAGTGCCGGGTTTTCTGTTTCCACTGCAGAAAAGCAGCAGTGCTGGTACAAGAACGGCGGCTGCTGGCACTACTGCCAGGACAGCGCCGGTGCCGGCACCTTCCAGGTGGCCTGTTCGTGCGCGCGGGACTACGCCCTGCACGAGGATGGGAAGAGGTGTGTGCAGGCAGGTGAGGCGCCCCGCGCGTCCTGGCGCTGCCCTGCGCCGGGCAAGCAGCCTGATGTTTCACACACACACACACACACACACACAGAGCTCACCCCCAGCTGGGTCTCCGCTCAGTTGTACGCGCAGCGCCGCTGCCCTCGCGCCCGCTCGCTCCAGAGCTCCGCGTTACCACGTCCTGGCGCAGCCCGGGGCCGCACTCAGGGCTGCAGCTCCGCTCCTGTGCGGGATGTGGTGGTGGGGGCAGCACAAGGGCAGGGGCTGGGCCRGGACCTGCAGCACCTCATTTGAGACTCAAAATGCGTCCAAGGCTCAAAGCGCCTCCTCTATCCCCTCTTTCCCCAGCACCATTTCCGTGCGGCCTCGTTAAAGTCAGACGGGCTTTGGAGCAAGCGCCGCCAGGGCAGAAAATGGTACCGAGGAGCCTGCCCGAGCTGCACAACAGCGTCCCTTGGGGGAACAAGAGCCCGGAGGGCACCGACAGCCCCCGCGGGGCAGCAGGGACCTTGCAGAGCACTGCAGAGCAAAGCACGCGCGCGGAGCGGGAYGCAGAGCACCGCGCGGCGGGAGCAGCCGCTTCCAGCTGCAACAGGACACGGGCGGACRCTGTTGAACAGCCCGGGCTGGAGGACAGTGCCGCGAGGCGGGACGGGGGTGGCTCTGGCCAAAACGGGAGCGTGGAGGGGAGCAGTGCCGRCGCGGAGGGGATGGCACAGCCCAGYGCACAGCCCAGCACTGCGGGGCTGCCCAGCGCAGAGCCCAGCGCAGAGCCCAGCCTGGATGGGACAGCCCAGCCCAGCGCACAGCCCCACGTACCCCCGAGCACTGGGAGCGCCGTGGGGCCGAGCGTGGCCGCCCGCGTGGCCGGAGGGACGTTCTGCCAGCGGGGCCAGTGCCCCTGGCAGGTACGGAGCCCTGCCGCGGCTTCGCTCTTTTCTGCGGGTCATTGTAACACTGGGGTGCACAAGGAGGGCTGCTACTGCCCCAGGGAAAAGGGCTTTTGTGTTTGCAGAATTAAGCCAAGAGGGCCCATGTGCAGAACACTTAAATTCTCCAGTCCCTGGCCCAGTGCAAGATGCTGGCTCGGGGGGGGTAGGTCTGCACCTTTCTATCTGCTTCTTCCCTTTTACCCTCACTCCTGGCAGAACCGCRCCGCTGCTCTAACCCCTCTGCTTGGGCAAGGAGTTCTTGTGTTAGTGAGCAAGCTGCTTTTCCTCTCCCACCCCCCCAAACTGGACCCCCCCCTCCCTTTAAAGATCTGCTTGACAGATTCCGCTCTGCTCTCACTGTCTCCTCACCTCACAGGACGACATTCTACCCCCCAACATTGCTGGTTGCTGCAAGGGGTTGACTGGGCCCAAATCTCAYGCTGCTTAGAAGATGCCTGCACCTGACCAGAGCTACCGTGAGGGCAGCGCGAGCTGCTGCYAACAGCCCGTTCCTGCTCCTTCCCGCAGGTTTTGATCCGAAATAGCCGAGATGAGGGGTTCTGCGGAGGGAGTCTCATCAGCAGCCGCTGGGTGGTCACTGCTGCTCACTGCCTTGACCTTGTCAGGCCGCACCAYGTCACTGTCGGTGAGGAAACTTCTACACTTCCTTTTCTAACAACAGTTTCTTATTTAAAATGCACTCCCTTGTCCATTTACACTGCAAGGTTGAGAAAGAAGCAGACACATCCACCTGGATTCGAATAATAAAAAAAAAACTCTTCTATTTCTTGAGCAACAGCCGAGCCTAGGCTCAGAAATCGAATATAACATGGAGGAGAGGATTGAATAGAACATGGAGGATTCCCTGAGAGGGAGGAAAAAGGGGAAAAAAAAAAAGAAAAACCAACAAACAGCCCCCTGCAAACCCTAGTCAAACTGCTCCAAATGCAGCGCTTCCGAACACGCAGTGACGGTTCACGTTAAAAGCTCTGCCTACAGGAATGCCTGATCCCCACAAATGGGGATTCATCCAGTCAGCAACTTTAATTGGTCCCTTAGCCAGAAAAGGGATGGGCCTGCTGGGCAGCATTAATCTGCAGCATGAGAAAGCATTTGTACAGCTTGAGATTTATTCTGATCTGTGCCTTGAGGTGAAAGATCAAAGCACCGATTCAGTCAACTTCGCCCTTCCCGCTGAAAACCCCGTGCAAGTTATTTACAGTTCTCTAACACTCTGCGGTGCCCACAGGAGACTTCGACAAGTACCAGAGAGAGGTGTGGGAGCAGAAGATCGGCGTGGAGCGGAGCTGGCGCCACCCGCACTACGACGCGGACAACTACAACAGCGACATCGCGCTGCTGCGGCTGAGCAGCGCCGTGGCCCTGGGCGCCTTCGCGCTGCCCATCTGCCTGCCGAGCGCCGGCCTGGCGGCGCTGCTCACCGAGGAGGGCCGCGTGGGCACCGTGAGCGGCTGGGGGGCCACCCACGAGTGCGGGGCCCCCCTGCGCTTCCTCATGCACGTCAGGGTGCCCGTGGTGAGCATGGAGCGCTGCCAGCGCGCCATGGACAGGCTGGTCACCGACAACATGTTCTGCGCCGGCTACGAGGCCGAGGCCGAGGACGCCTGCAAGGGGGACAGCGGGGGCCCCTTCGCYGTGCCCTACCACAACACCTGGTTTCTGCTGGGCATCGTCAGCTGGGGCGAGGGCTGYGCCGAGAAAGGCAAATACGGCGTGTACACGCGGGTAGCCAACTACATCCCCTGGATTACAGAGGTCATTGAAAGTGTCGAAGATGCGGAAAAGATTTTACACTAACTCTACTCCTAAGAGCATCTCTAAAAACAGGGGAAGTTCTGTTGTAACTGGTAGCAGCCTGAGACGCTACTCAATTCCTGCAAACAGGAGAACATAACTTACCTTAACACTTACCTTAAAAAAGAGAAGCTTTCGAGCCTGTGCTTCCCGTAACTGTTGAATTTCCATTGAAGTATTGCTGAGCAAAATCCTTGTGTACAATAAAAAAACTATCCTAACCAACTCTAACTGCTCTTTGATGTACAGAGCCAACTGCAAAGAGTGCTTGCAGGGCTTGTTTCTTCCTCTGTTCTCAAGCCTATATTCACAGCACAAGAATATACCAGCAGCCCTAGCTGTGAATTAACCACTCACTTTGCTGGTAGTGTTGTCGTTCCTGCAGCTGTGAAACAAAATWCAGTTTACTAAATGGAAATGTCTTCCAATACTAAAAGTTAATGTCTGCAGCAGCTTGAATTACAGACTGCACTGGATAAAAGGGCTAGGAGAGGGAATGGGACCAGCCAGCTGCAGCTGAAGAAAGAGAAAAGGAGGGTTTCTGCATTCACCGTTGAAGGTTTTGCCTCCACCTTTTATCGGAGGCATCAGTAACAGTTACCTGCAGTAACTGCAGCCTCTCTTACAGAGAATGTTTGAGCTCAAAGCATCTGGCGGTTTCAGTGGGAGGCTGCCTGATCTCTGGAGCGCCGCAGCACGGGCTGAGCAAAGGAGTCCGTAGCRTGGCAGACGGGCAGTATTTCTGACATCAAATCCTGTATCGGCAGCTCTCCTAATGGAGAGCAACTAATTAAAAGTTGAGGCATCAAATAAAGAGGAAATGGAAAACAGCAAACGTTCACATCATAGATTTTCCACACACCAAGTACACACTTTTTCCAGCATTTCAGCTAGTCACGCTTTTCTTCTCAGCACTTCACACACACAAACCACCCGGAGCAATCAGAGCCCCCCCGCAGGAAAAAAAAAAGAACAGGAGGATGTTTTATTGTCTAAAGTGTTGCAATACAACAAATACTCGATCTGTACAAAGGACACAATAGAGCAAGTTTAAATACAATCGGGAGAAAGTAGTCCCCGTATTCACAGTCCTTAGACAACATCTTATACCAGAACCTGAACCAACAGTTTAAAGATTCACTAAAAAAAATATAACCCAAACATGTTGTTAAAAATATAGAGGTCTCCCAAGAGTCTATGGGTGTTTGTCTTACAGCAGAGTTGGGGTATTCTGTGAAGGGTCACAATGGCATCTTATTGCCCTCAATGCTGATTTTCACTGCATGGGCCGATCTGCTTTTTTTCCTGATATCTGTGAATTTCCGCATCTGTTTGTCCAGTCGACTCACCCCTTTCTTAGAGGTTCCCTGGAACTTAAAAAATAAAACTAATAATTACCACTGAAAAAAAGCAGACGTCCCAGAGGTTCAACAGAAGCAACCGTGTGAGGTTAAGCCTGGAGGATGGATCTCCTGAAGTCATTGCCAATTGCCAGCTCGTTGCCGTGTCCCTCCCGGGAGGACACGCGGCCCCCGACATATGCACCGCACGTAGGAAACGCTCCCGAGCGCCACAGCGAAGCTTTCGGAGCGCAGGGGCTCACGCGGGCCGGTTAGTCGTGCACAGTCGTGTTAGTCTGGAACAGTTCTGCTGTCTACAGTGAGTGCRGTTCAGTGTGAGAAATACACACAGGGGACAAACAGGCCTCCTGAGGATGGAGGAGTTTTGGATAGGACAGCACTGTAACTGAGTTGGATCGAGCTCACATATCAATTCCAAACTGTGATTTATTTTAAAAGGCCACTCATTAGTACTTACAGAGAAAAAGATCATTGGAAAAGAAAAAAGGAAAGGATGAGGAAAGCAAAAGAAACTTGTAAGAAATCTGGCCTTACAAATTATTACAGGAGTTATTGCATTTCATTTCTGTATTTTGTTTAACGGCAGTTGAAAAACTGAGATTTTGCACAGTTTTTATAGTGATTCTGCACAGAAAACCCTCTGAAGACCAACAGTAAGGGATTCTGGATCCATAACCACTACTTTCTAGAAAGCAGTTTCCCTAGCTAGGCAACAGAAGAAAAAGTGAATGCTGGAAACTTTACACCTTTTAAGTTTGGGAAAAACAGATATATCCAAAATATGCTACTTGATRCCAAACAAACATCCTTTAGAATCTGAACCTCTTGTTCCCAGCATTAGGGAAGCTGCCCACTACGCACTGATTTAAAAGTGAGGTTTATGCATTAAACAGAAAAAATATTTACTGGAATTGGAGCTGGAATTTCAGTGATTAACCAAATAAGTTATAAATAAATGTGAAGGTTAAAAACAATCTACCACTTGGGACACCCCTGCTCACAGAACTGAAATGCAGACCAGAAGTTTTCCAAACAATKCTCATGTTGATTATTCATCATCCATCATCTCCCCTAGCCCTGCATTCCCAGCAGAGCTTTCCTCAAGTCTTGGGAGGTCTCGTTCTCTACCTGCCATCAACCACCCCCTAATGCCTCGTATCTCTTAACTTCCTTGGTAAAATAGGCCTGAACAGCGTTTTYATCCTGCATATACCAGTGAAACATGAGCCACATAAGGGCAATTCTTGCCCATCAGATCAATCTGCAAAGTACAGCTAAGTGAGAAGTTTCACACTGCTGGACCTGCTCACTGGCCAAGCATTCAAACCACAGACACCTGGCTGTGAGTGCAGGATTTTCCTTCAGTCCCTGTCGCTGGGTGCCGGGCAGCTGCGGAGGCAGGCACCACGGCAGGCGCCGGGTGCTACAGCGTGTCCTGTCCTGTACGTGGCCCTTTGAGGTCAAAGTACAGGCATCAGGGGATACCAGGAGAGCTTTCCAAGCTGAAGGTGGGGCTTACACACTCCTTTCCTATATGTGCAAACTGCCAACGGCTGAAGCACATGCACTGTCCACACCTCCCTCGAGGGATACCTCTCAAACTTGGGGAAGGCAGTGTCATGGCTACAGGGGCATCCTGTTGCCTTCAATGCTGAACTTGATGGCTCGATGCACTTTGCTGAGTCGTTTCTGTTCAGCAAACCGTCTCTTGTGCTTTTCCAAGCGACTAATACCTCTCTTAATAGTCCCGGGCTAGAAACAATATCTCAATTAATGCAGAGAAGGAAAGATAACAGCAGAAAGAGCACAGTTTCATTATTACTTCTTCCATCGACATGTGTTTTACCACATACTCTGCCTTTAAATTAAATATACAAGGTAGGTGGATAAAGCAAAGCAAGGTAAAGGCCTCTAACGAAACTGTTAATTCTTACCAACACTTCGATGTTTTCCCCAAGTGGAGTATTACAAGAATCTCATCATACAAAAGACAGAAGTATAAAATATCAGTGACAGACTGATCAAATCACTACTTTATTTCAAAATGCTCTAAAATAAGAGGCCTTCMATCGGGCCTTCAATATAGAACAGTTAAAATCTCTTTCTAAGAAGAGAAACTATACCTCAGTGAAGGAATGTGATGGGCTTAGCTTGTCAGCAGAATTTGCTGTCTACTTGTRTCAGAAAAGGCCCGTGAGAAGAAGTGCCGTATCGTACAGCAAGAGCAGTATCAAGGTGATGAATATTCCCAGGCTTAACCACAGCTACGCGAAGCACAGAGGCAGCAAGAGAAGCCCAGCACCTCCCCACAGCAGTGCTTACCCGGGAGGACTCCATTTCCACGTTCCACTTTGGTCTGACCACGTAGTCCTTGTTGGAGGGCATCGGCACCCTTGCCCGGGCACAGAACCCAGGGTCCCCAGGCCGGAGTGCCCTGCAAAAAGCAGGATGTTACTGCCCCAAGCCTTGGGCAGGAGCCAGCAGAACACGCTCCTCTGCGGAAACCACGTACACGGCCCCTGCTTGGAAAGCCTCAAAGCTTTCCAAGCACGCTGTTAGCACTGCTAAAACACTTTTTCCCTCATCACAAAAAGCAAAACTCAACCTACTTTTCCTCTCCTGTTAACACTTTCTCCAGGTCCCTGCGAGGAGTTTGACCGCCGGAGCTGTAAGACATGAAACTGTGTAAGCATCCACACACAAGGAACAATGGTAACTTTAGAGGACAATCGATTGTGACAAAGGAAATAAGAGGAAAAAAGACAGGTTTTTCCTCTTTAGAATGTACACATATTGATGGAATCTCAGAAATTCATTTTTGCCTGCTATTCCTACCTGCTCAGTCTCCTCCGCTGAGGCATCTGTTCCAAATCTCTCTGCTCCCTCTCCTCTCTCGTCATGCCTTTGTAATTTGAGGTAAGGCCAAAGATGGGTCGAGACCATTCATCTGTTTAAAAAAAAACGCAAGCACACCCACGCTGGTACTTCAGCACATCACCAGGCACATAGAGGTTTACCTCCAGAGCACTCCAGTGACTCCTACTATCATTCCCCAAGTCCACAGCAAGCACTGGTGCTGCTTCTCTAATTCAAGCAAATGATTTTGGAAGATTTTTAAGATTTCAGAAGAACCCAGGAGAACTGTTTCCTGGACAGTGAGAGAGCCTTCACATCTAAAGTCTCTTGCTAGATCCCTCCCAGCRCTTAGAGCACTTAACGTAAGGAACTCCCACGTGCCACAGTGAGTGCTACTTCTGAAATAGGTAGATTAGTTTCTCAAGAACAAGTTTAGAATCCATCTACAGTCACTCACGAGGGAATGCACTGCACTTARAAAGGCTCTAGTTAAACATCCAGGTTGTCACTAAAGTGCATGAAAAGTGTGGGATAAACAGTCTTCCAGTAGCACCTTCTTCCTTCGTTACACACGGATGAGACCTGGACAACCAGATCAGAAAGAATTTGGGCAGACAAATGCCATCCTCTGATTTTAGATCAAGAATGAATGAAACAGCAGCGATGCATAAGGAAGCAAATATAACTGTTCTTGTTAAGAGTTCTGCAGGCAATGTAATTAGGTAAGATCCCTACACTGTGGAATAATTCTCTCTACTAAGGGCAATAACAAAAACGCACAGAAAAGCTGATGCAGCGATTAACTCATCAGTGGAATGTCACTGAGGCAGTACAAGAGAGAGGATTACATACTGATTAGCTTCCCTGCCATGTCCTTGTTAGGTCTCGACTCTTTAGGGTGCTTGTAGAGGTACATCACAGCTCGTCCGATCCCACTGTGCTTCAGGGTCTCTTGGCTCACACTGGGCAGCTGCAAGAAAATCAGAGTAGCGAGACATGACATCCGAACGTCAACCGCACAGGTAGCAACCTTTTCAGAAGCAAAACTTATTTTCATGATAATCATAACAGAAGAGTATTTATCACTTTACCACCACCCATCAGTTAAAAGTGAAACCTAGTAATTTACCTTGACAGCTTTGTTTCTTAAACACAAAGCAAACCAAATTTCCTAAAGCAGTTTCTCCAAGCACTCTTTTGCTAGTATTATCCAAGAATCAGCACTTCTAAGCACTCATTTCACAATGATAAAAATCTAAGTGGCAAAAGTCATCAAATAACCAGCTTGCTATCAACACTAGAGGTTTAGTAGGGGTCTTGAGAGGCTTCCTGAGTGCACTGCACACTTTAACATGTCAAAAAAAAACAGAGGAAAGAAACCGTCAATTGCCACAGCAGAAGCAAAGGAAGAAATAAAACGCCCCAATGTGAAAAACTCGTAAGTGAGTCCAACCAGCTATTAGTAACTCATGTATTCATGTTGGGGAAGACGAGGGACAGTAGTTCAGGTTTATGAGAAGTCTAGAAAAGCCATCAGGTTCTTTGGGGAAGGATACAGGAGTTAATGCAGGTAGTTCACCTGCGACCCTCTTAAGCTCAGCACAGGAACTTCTTTTGGCCTGCTGCTAGAACTACTTGCTTTATTGTACAAACAGGGAAATTTCTTAACAGCAATTAGGTGTCTACAATTCCCAGTCTTTTTTTTTTTTTTTTTAGCTAGACAACATATGTATAACATAGGAAATAATCACTGAAATGATTTAATTTTTAAACCACACATGTCCATTCTGCAGCTTCTTCCTGTATTTCACTGCTAGCAGTGCTAGTCCACTGGTCTAGAGGACACACTAGTATCCGTTCCCTCCACAAATTTCCCAACACACACGGCTGTAAAGCTACAGCAGAGCCATGAATCAAGCATGGTTATATTTGATTTATATGGTTATGGTTTATGATTATGGTTGATATGGTTATTTGGTTATATAAGTCAGTTCCAAACCTCTTGCAGGATCTTCAGAAGTTCTTCTCGTATCTTTAGTGCTGGCAGACTTCTGTCTGGAAGAGGAGAGAGCCACTCYTTGATAGCAGACATAACACCACTATCGATGAAAGTTTCTTTGAGGTCCTGCCTAGAAAGTTTTAAGTAAAGAGAAGTCACAAAGTCATAAAATGTGAATTTTAAAATGTGATGTACAGCAGGGCATTTTAGGTTACTTCAAGTTAAATAATCGGGTTTTAAATAATCGGCCACCTAGCTCCAGCATTTAACTGGAATGAAAAGGTTTTGCTTTTTGGTACAATTCTAATGTTTCTCTGTCAGTCTTCCTATTTCCAGTAACCCCAAGATAATTAACCAGGAAGATGACACTTACTTTTTAAGATGCATAACTACGGTTGGTAGCAAAGTTAATTTCTTTAGTGCTGGCTTCTTTTGTGTATTCAGCTGTCGATCCTCCTACAGGGAGTTTAAGAAGTACAACTTCATCAAGAAGAAAGCAGTGATTCTCATCCCTTAACAAATCAATAAAGATTAGTCTATTACCAGAGGAGGGCAATGTGGGGGAAATTACTCTAACTTTATGCCCTGCTCCATCTTCTTACGGCCTCAAAACAAATTTTATACAAAGATCACCCTGAAGAGGAGTGCACAGTATTTTCTTTAAATCTTCATATATAAGAGATTCTCTCCTAGAAAAGAAGCCAAATCTATTAAGATCTCAGCTGAAATTGCAACGGGGGAAAAAGCCCTTCTCAAGCAAAGTTATCTGCAGCAGTGGAGTTCAGTTCTTCATCCTCTCCATCTTTGTCTCCCAAATCGTGCTCTCCCCTTCCTCCTCACGTTATCCTTCTTATCTTGTTCTCAGAAGTACTTCTTTTGACATCTGTAAACTTCCTTCTGAAGTTCCCTGCATACTCCCCCAATCTGCTTGTCATGATTTTCACAATGCTATTTGTCAATCTGACTGCCACTCCAACAAAAGCGGAGAGAACAAGASAGAAATCGGACAACTCCAAGAAACGCTGCACAGCAACATATTAAGCATCACTCCTTGAAAGAGGCAGTCTGACCAGGTTTATTTCTCTCCCATAATTGTGTTTCTCTGGCATCATTACCACGGTATCATCTTTCAGGCAGTTTAGAAAATGCTATGTCCTAACTGCTTATTCTGGCCAAGCCTTCAATTACTACCTATACACATACATACATATACAGCAAGTAACTGTATGATGAAAATAACAGTCCATTACTCAGTGTTCAAGATAAACATTCATATTTTATAGTACATGAACTCACTCCTGTTTATCGGCATTTGACCTCAGCTGATGCAGCTGGTTTAACAAACTTAACTGATATTCACTTATAAAAGTGAAAAGCTTTTCTGAATTACAACTAAGAAAAATTCTTGAATACTGATACTGGAAGCTTTCAGTAACGTTGCTCTTGCGTACTAGGCAGTTTATTTTACCTGACAAAAGATTTTCCCAYAGAACAGAACTAGATGTTAAGGCATCTTTGGAACCTAGACAACTCACCTCAGCAGCTTCATTCATCTTCCCAATCATGGCACTGACCACATCRTCTGCATCACTAATAAAAGTCCCTCCGTCACGGTTCCGTCTGCGTTTGCCACTCATGCTCTTCTTTCGTTGCAACATCATGTCGAAATCTGACATGAAGTCCATACTGAAATGCAAGAAGAGACTTTGCTGATGATCTAAAGAGGGTTAAGCCTACTCTATATAAAACAGTTCTGCATTTCTATATCATAACCTTCCCCTAAATCTCTAAGAATTCTACAATTACTATGCCTCAATGTCCCTGTGTGATAATTATCCTCAAGCTTACAAACTGGTAAATTAGCAAACAGAAGGGTTCTGTGGCTCAGASATGTCCTCAAAAGCCTGCAAGATGACCTTTTAGCTTGCTGAAATAACTAATGGCACAAATCTATTTGATGCGCAGGGTTCAGGATGGGCAAATCTGTCACTGAGCCTGTCAAAAATTCTGCTTTCCCAAACTGCAAATACAGCTCTTATACTAGCGGAGAAGGCAGGAAGGCAATGGGAACTAAGCAAGTCTTGCTACACCGTATCTCCTACATCAGCAGAGAAACCGCATCTGGGACTACAGTACTGCTACACATCACCCAGTGCTGAAGTGCTAGAAGTAGAAAAAAAGGAGCAGATCCTAGTTTCGCTCAGTTTTTCACAGGAACTGCTCCTCTCCTGAGCAGCAGCACAGGTAATTTGCTACTGACTGAAGAGTGACTACACTGTAGAAGTGAAGAGCAAAACTTACATCTTTGAGAACACACATTACTACAGAGATGCAGTCCCTTGCCTTTCTAACAAGTCCAATCAGTCTTTGGAGGAGCCTTTTTCACAAAAAATCTTGGGTACTCTTTTGTCACTGGCAAATACAGCACACTGACTTACTGCTTCCCTCTTTTGATGTTATCATCAGAATCGGATTCATCTGCTGTCTCCTTCATGTCTGCATCCGCTTTCTCTTCTTCCAAGTCCTCCTGGTTAAAACCCTGATGGTAACAACAGTACAGGTCAGCAAGCAGACTAGGACTCCGCATCTACCCAAGTACCTTCCTCCAATAGTGTAACAGCTCTCTCTAGAGGGGAGCTCTTCAATCCACTTTCAAAGCGAAGCAAAACTGTATTTTCACCTGTGACTTTCACGTGGAAGACTATTCTAACAGAAGAGCTGCAGAAGTTGCCTAACAAAGGCTACCTTAGGAAGTCCAGCACAAGAGTAAAAATTCCCTACTGATACAGAATATCCCTGGATGTGAATTAAAAGCTGAAGAGGCACTCTGGAATAGCTTCCACAGAGATGAGCTCTGGCAACAAAGCAAGAGCCACCCGCAATAGCACTTACTGTAAATTCCTCCTCCTCTTCATCACCAGATTCTCCAAATATATCTGCAATCAGGTTCCTGTGAAAGTAACAGTAACATTCATCTCTGCTGACATCTATGTCAACATTAAGACAACAGCAGTGAGCAATACATTTTCCTGGGAAATTTCTGGTATGATTTTGGGAGATCTACCGTTCTGAGACCTACTATTAACCTTCCTCTTCATACCACCAGAGAAGATGGACATTCATAGAGAATGAATTGGTTGGGATTCATCYGTTTTCCATTCAAGAACAATCTCACTATCTGCAACCCTGAAGGAATTCATATTGACAGAAATACTTACTCTTGCTCATTTCCAGATTCACTGTCACTTCCAAACAGATCCTTCTCTTCTTTTTTCTTCCCAGCATTCTCTTTCCTTTCTTCTTCTTCTTCACTGTCCGATATAGCATTTTTCTTCCTTTTATCAGATTTCTCTGAAGCAGCATCACTATCTGATTCTTCAACATCAGAAAGAATTCGTACTTTCTTTGCAGCTGCCAAAAAATGGAGCATTATTACTTGTCCTAGTAATAGAGATAACAACTGGTCCTCCCAAATAGTTATTCTCTCTCAAACTCTCTTTGGACAGGAGCAAAGCTGACCAGCCTTCCTACATGAAATCAGCGCCCTCTCCTCAAACGAAAATGTCCATTCTGAAGTCTATCTTATTCAGTCAGGAACTGAATGTATATACATATATGTGTGTGTTTGCACTGGGTCTATGTGTAGGTATGTGTTTGTATATATACCCCTCATACAAATATATATCACACCTATTCATAAAAAAATGCAATTTCAAGACTGATTCTCACACATAGCTTAAAAAAAAAAAACCACACACAGGGCAAAAAACACACTCTAGAGAACTACAGAAGTAACAGCTAAGTATTAAAGAAATAGCAGTAAAAGGAGTAACAAATACAAAAACAGGCCAATATGAAACAGACTCTGCAAAAAGTCTACTTATTCCTCAAGAGTGTTATACATTCATGTGCAAATATATTTATAATAATGTCTTTTTCAAAGCACAGTTGCAACCTAAAACCAAAACCTGCTGTGGAGTTAACTGTAAYGCTGCTGCTTGTCACATCAAGATTTACATTTACACTGTATTTCCTTACGTGTTTTCTCATTGTCATCCTCACTGTCAGAGAGTACAGCTGTTTTCCTTTTCACGATCTTCTCCTCCTCTTTCTCTTCTTCATCACTGTCTGATATTTTTCGCCTTTTAGGGCCATCCTCTTCACTGTCAGAACCCTGAAACCCTTTTCTCACAGGTTCGTTATCCGAATGATGAGAATCATTCTGCACCTCCTTCCTGTCCTCAACATCACTATCATCAGACTCTACTTCTCGTTTGTGTCTGGAAACATCCTCGCTCTCCGAGTCGCTGGCTGGCTGCTTGCGCGGCTCCTCGCTCTCGGAATCASTGGCCGGCTGCTTGCGCAGCTCCTCGCTCTCCGAGTCGCTGGCCGGCTGTTTGCGAAGCTCCTCGCTCTCAGAATCACTTGCTGGCTGCCTGCGTGGCTCCTCGTTCTCGGAATCAGAGGCCGGCTGCTTGCGAAGCTCCTCACTCTCGGAATCACTGGCYGGCTGCTTGTGTAGCTCCTCGCTCTCCGAGTCACTCGCTGGCTGCTTGTGTAGCTCCTCGCTCTCCGAGTCACTTGCYGGCTGCTTGCGCAGCTCCTCGCTCTCGGAATCRCTGGCYGGCTGCTTCTGTGATTCCTCATTTTCAAAATCACTGCTCTGATCCCTTTGAGGTTCTCCATTTTCAGAGTCACTCACTCGATGATTTAAGGCATCCTCATTTTCAGAGTCACTTAAATGCTGATTTGGACGGTCCTCAGTATCAGAATCACTGTCTTTTCCTCCATGAGCAGCTTCATTGTCTGAATCACTTAAATTGTGATTTGGAGGCTCCTCATTATCTGAGTCACTGTCTTTTTGCCTTGGAATATCTTCGTTTTCAGAGTCTGTCATATGAGACTCTCCCATTTGCCCATTGTCTTCTCCATCACTGTGTTCATTCTGGAAGAGAAAAATAATTTCAGACAACTAAACAAAGGAACTAGAAGAAAATGAAACAAAAGCCGTTCCTGCTTTTTGCTTGCCTTCCCCACAGTTTAATTGCTCAAGGTACTAGAGCCTGAAATTTTTTCTATACAGAAATTATTATAAAAGCTGCATCAAGGAACTTAGAGTAACAGAAATATTAAAGATCAATGGAAGCTTCTCCACTTTACTGCTGAATCATATTTTGGACAAGATAACAAAATTTTAAAAATTAATTAAAACTTCTAAAAAAGTGCTGAATATCCAGAAGCTTTTTTCTTTTTTTTTTTTTTCTCCAGTAAGTTAGGCTTTCAAGAAGGTTTAGTCTAACTCCCCAGAARCAGGGCAAATAAAACACCTCCCATGGAGGTTTTTTTTTTTTTTTTGTATTAAGTACATTTTACTCAGATCACACATACATGGAATTCCAGAGAAGCTCAGCTTGTGCCTTTTTCCTCTTTGCCAAGAGGTCTTATTTAAGAACATGTCAAGATTGAAAGCCTACCATTTAATAATAAACCTGCTTGAGAGATGAGTATGTATTTCAAATACAAAAAAATCAAAATGTAATGTCTTTCTCCTTTAAGTTGATATCTCCTATGCCTATCTCAAATCTCTAGAAATGAAATATATACTTTTTGTACTGCAAAAATACTGAGCCACACAATCCGTTTTTCTAGTTTTCTACTTGAAGATTTTTTTTTCAATTTTGTCTTTACCTAAGAAAAACACCATTAGGTTATCTAAAATGTTCCTTTCATTAACTTGGCATAGGTAAGATAGTCATTGTCACAATAATCCTGTTTTCAATCAAAGAGAAAAATATTGTAATAGAAACTTCTTTTCTACACCCTCAACTTCTCCATTTCTCAGCTAGGGTGAGCCCTTTCCTCAGGGGAGACTTTTTCTTCTCAGCTGTAGATTCCTTCTGCTAACATCTCTGCAAACTGAGTACTTTTTAGTTAGGAGGACAGACTTCCTTGCTATTTTCTTTTTATTTCCTATATTCATCCTACTCCCACATTCAGGACCATACACTGTTTTACATGCATCTTTGTTAAAGCTAAATCAACATTACAATTAATCTTTACAATACATGATTTAGAGAGAATTTTAAATAAAACTAGAAGTATTTAAGAACTATGACTGATTCCTAGAAYTATACAAGGTAGTAAATAACATTACTTTTTAACATTTTGGGTCCAATGACTAAAATCTATAAAAATATTAACTGGTAAACAACTGTAGAATTACTGACAAAAACATACTACACAATGGGAAATCAGGACTCCTTAATTTTCAAAGGTGCACTTCAAACACAGCTTTACTATTTCCATATTATTTAATGCTAGCTACAAAAGAGCAGCTTCAATAACCTATGTCAATACCTCTCTCTTTCTACTATTTGCTCCTCTCACAACAGCAGTGTAGACGTTTCCAATAATGTTAATAGGAATATTCAGTGTTTTTTTATTTGTTACCTCTATAGAATCAAACCAGGGTTTAGTCTGAGTCTCAAATCATGCTTTTCAGACATCAAGTATGAAAACGTATTCATGTTTAAGCTGTTAGGGTCAGCATCTTGCAGACTGTTAGTCTAGAAAGGCTTTGGTGAACAGGTAACCATTAAAAAGCAAGCTGATTCTACAGCGATTCTTAACCACACAGTATTTCTAAGGTCAAAAGTRTTGCTTCGGGTTATGTAACTACTTATTTGGAATATAGTACTAAATTACAAGGATCATCTGTGCAAAATACTTGGTAATAAATCTTTATAATTATACAGCAGCATTACTGAAGTACTTCGGAACTTCTTGAATCTCTGTTATTGCAAGCTGACAATTGCTCTTTAGAATAAAAGGCTTGGAGAGTTTGGATAAGGGGAGCAGAAATGCACCCTAATTAGCTTACTCTGTGTCCATACAGCATTCTGCAAAACAGAATGCCAGAGGTGATTACAGCATCTGAACCTTACTCTCATATAATCACCTACATTAAGATCTGCTTAAAGAAAACACAGATCCAGCTTCTCTATCAAGATTGGGCTTCCAGGAATCCCTTTACTCTATTCCTGAATCAGGAAAGCACAAGACAGAGCTAGCCAAAAGAACAGTCACACTAGCCAAGTCTGTAAGTCCCAGACAAAGATGACAACTAGCTTGGACTCAGCACCACATTAAAGGAATGAGGCATCTCCTAAAGCAGATCTGGGGCAGAGCTGACCTCCTCAAAGCCTTCATACAACAGAAAGGGCCCATCTAGACGCATCAATGCAAAGGTATGCTGAATACAAATACTGAATCTGTGGATGTTTTGGAATACACTTTATACATAAAACAGATGCAACTTAATAGTAAGATGACTAAACTGAGTAGGATAATCTCTCCCACCACCTTTTTTACTAGTTCGTCTCTAAAAAGATGTGTTCAAAGAAATCATATACGTCATTTTGTAGTGTTTTTTTCTTTTCTAAACCCTTAAAGAAAAAAAATCAGACATCCTCACGAAGAAGTAGGTCTCAGGTAATTGCTATTGCATTTTTCTCTAATTCCTTTACTTTCTTTTCTTCCTCCTCTTTATCTATAAACTTTTTAAATCAGATGTCCTTTTTAACTGACAGAATTCTATAACATGAGGCTTTAGTACAGTATAAAATAAGGAATACATCAAAATCAGATTTACAGTGTTATCCCTCTACCTAAATTTTTATTACCATAGATAGTATATTGGATCAACATGCCACTACTTTTCAGATGTGATACTTCATTAATACTTCTATAGTTTATTAAGTTCAACACAGTTGACACATCCACTACAAACTCATGAATGACAAAGTTAAGTAAGTAGTTTAACTCATGTTAAACTGAGGCATACACTGATTATCATAGGTAGGTCAGCAAGTTATGTTATTTTCAAAATCTAAGATATCTGTATCAGTTGCAGTCAAACCATAACTAAACTCATGAAGATAACTGGGACTTGGTACAAGTGTAAGAATCTAAGTCATCGGGTTGACATGAGCCTGACTTGAACAAACACTGTAAACATGATTTAGTATTCACCACTGTACTAAAACTATGTGTTATCTAATTCTATTTGTCTAAAACAGAATTGGTAAGGACATCAAAGAGAACATTTATAGATAAAGTGGGATTGGGGGAAGGAAAGACAGAAAAGAATTGTGGAAAAGAAAACCCACATACCTGAGACCTACATAAGTAATTCCTCAGGATTCCCCTTTTCTTTAAAGTTAAGAACCTGAAAAAAAAAGTTTAAAAATTTAAAACTTCAGTTCTTTAGATCTGAGTTCTAATTTAGAGACGAAGTAGTAATTAAACAGACTTAACTGATTAAGCTGTCTCAAAGGTTTTATTACCTTTGAATGTCATTTCTCCCACATATTCCTAAAGATGAAGGAAATAAGATGAGGAGAGATATTTTAGGATAAATATGATAAATCACTGAAAGCTTCTCCTTTCAGATAGAGTAACTGCACATTATCATTTGATGAAGAAATCTGATGAAGGAAAATATCAAATTACTAAGAACTTCAGAGCAAAGGAAAATACTTCAAAAAATTAAATGATTATTTGAACTGAATCAAATCAAGCATTAAAGCTACATCTATAATCAAGCAGAAGGGTTGGGTTTGTTTAATTGCTTAGGGTTTAGGGTATCTTTGTTTTTTATTTGGACTTTCCAAAACATTTTACCCATAGAAGAAGATTCAACACCCATCAAAGAACAAAAACATTCAAATACTGCTGATACATGAAGAGGATTAGTTAATGATGAGGACAACTCCTAATGATATCTTCTGGTTATTTAAATCTGGAAATCTTGCCAAAAATATTAACAAAAAGTCAAGCATTTTTTTCTGACAGATTTCTAATTACTTTTTCATAGCAGATAAAATTAAAATCTCGCAAAAATACATGGTAAAGATCAACTGACAAAACTTTTTTACACCAAAGAATAAGTTTAACTAGATCAAGATGACAACAATTTGTGTTTTAATCCACTATTTTTAGATGAAAACTGGAGTTTAAAGTACTACGTCCTTGTCAACAGCACTCTTCATTTCCCTTGCCTGAACAAATACATTTCTTCCTCTGTCAAAGCATTTCCTGACTATAACAATAGGAGATGCCCAACACCAAACCAATTCCTTCTGCTGTAAACCTTTATCCTCTCCTCTCCAAAATTTATACACACATTCAAGTAAACTAGAACTTCCATTTTATACAAAATCTTCAACCACTTYCTAATTTTGATGAAAGCATGAGTTCCAACAAATTTAAAATAATAATAGTTATAATAACAACAGGCTTGCAACACAACAGAGTAAACCTTCTGAACCATTTCAAGCTATTACAGTCTATCACCTTACACATTTCAGGCAACTGTTAGTACTACATAGCCACTGCAGAAACTATCAGAGCCAATACTGAACTTCACACAAAATGCAACACAATCTGCAGAACAGAATAAAACAAGCTTGACCAAAACTTTGATGACTATCAAAAAGTTCACCAAAATATAACTTTAGTCACAAATAAATAAATAAATAGGAAATTAACACAAGGCCTAGGACTTGTTCCAGAAATCCACAAGGAACCYTCACCCCTATTACAGTCCTCTTTTCAACCACAAATCTCACAATCAATTTTAGCAACTCTCCTCCAAATACAACCCTGAGTGAAAGCATCTTCACCCTTTCCACAGTGTAARGTTCTCAATAGTAAAAAGCCTTTAAAAGAAAAGAGAAATGTCATATAGGAACCTTGGTCTCTTTTCCACATGGAAACCTTCTCCTTTGTGAAAGRCAAAAAAGGGAAACATAGCACGAAACAGGCTTTAGAGGCAATTCTCTGTCATACCTGAGAGAAGGAAGGGGAGAATTTACTCTTTAGTCAGGAAAAGYATGTCTCCATAACACGTAGTTTTATGTTAATTTGCAGAAATTTAAAGAAAAACCTAAGATTCCTAAAAGCTTGTATTAGTATCTCAAATCTAAAAAATCTACCAGTTGCAATGCAGAGAATTTTATTCTTGCACAATATTCCACTTGTTCTATATAACATTGAACATCATTATGATCATTAGTGGCAAAAAAAAAAAAAAAAAAAAAAAAAAAATCCTACTTATTCACCGAGAAAATATTTCTCATCCTTTCCTCTGAAAGGAAATATTTGCTTGACAGGACCCTAAGGAACAATTCCAGCAACAGAGTAAGCCTCTTACCAGGCTACCAAAACGACAAACACGTTATTTAAAAGAAGCTTTATCTAATTAAAATCAAAGTTTCAGCATACCTCTGATTGATGCCCTATGCTCCCATTCTCWGATCCAGAATGCTGCTCATTTACTTCATCTTCAGCCTCAGATCCGGAGTCCCTTTCGTCCTGCACCGGGGTCGCTCCACCGTCATCTAGTCCAAGGAAAGGAAAGGAAAACTCAGTGACATGTCCCAGTGTTGACAGTCGGGAGGAGCGGGAAGCCAGGAAGCTCCACAAGGAGAGGCCAGTGCCGGGACTAGCGCAGGGAAAGAGGTGACACCGCTGGGAAGGTTCAGAGCGGAGACAAGACCACCACAGACAGCCCCCCTGCCCAAAACACACCCTCCAAACCGCTGTGCCGTGTCGCGAGCGCTCGCCGGCACAAGCACCAGGGCGCGGGTGTCAGCCCTGCCCCGGGCCCGCCGCCTCGCCACAGGCCCGGCGCCCCGCGCGGCCGCCCCGCGCCGCTACCTGACTGCTCCCCGCCGTAGTACTCGCCCTCCATGGCGCGCCCGGCGGCGGGGCAAGGCCCCGAGGCAGAGCTCGCCGCTGGCACCCGCCGCCTCCGGGCGCCGCCGCCCGCGCCGCACAGGCCCAAAATGGCGCCTCCCCCGCGAACCGCCGGCGGGCGGCCGCGCGCATGCGCCACGAGCGGCCGCCGGCGGGAGGGGCGCCCGCAGCCGAGTCTCGCGGGAGCCAAGTCTCGCGAGACGTCGGGCGGGGCGGCCGTTGGGGCGACCGTTGGGGCGGTGACAACGACAGCGACCGTGTTGTTGGAGCCAGGAGCGGGTGTCGGGAGAAGCGTGGGGAGACTTCCCGGGGGCGGAAGCCGCAAGGGACAGATTAGCGTTAGACGTGCTGTCCAGTCCCCTGCAATTACCCAGCGTTCCCACTCAGTCCAAGCCAAACCTGCTGAGTTTTTCCAAGAAAGGATGGGAGATGAAAAAAATACATCTCCTGGTTGGAATAGTAAACACTTTGCCATTCAGACAATGGACTTGCTGTGCCCACTGACAATTAAACGGACAAGAAGTAACTTCGGTGGAAGCTAGAAGGGCAAAGCACATTTAAAGCTGCAGTTCAGTTTGCTTGCAAGCTGCTCCTCCCTCCTGGTTTGGCCCTCAAAATCAGTCAAAAAATAGCCTTGAAACACCCTCCTTGCTTGCTTTGGGGGGAACACATGAGAGGAAAGGGCCCTGTCTTTGTCACCACCATTTAGATGGAGTGCTGTGGTGGACGTGCGCGGTGGGCTCTCTGGAGGCAGGGAGTTAGGCTGCCATTAACCTTCCACCCAGCAGCACTCGTGCTGTAACGCACGGTTTGCTTCTAGCAGTGCCGTGTAAACACAGGCAAACCTGTACTGAATATGTATTGCGTGACTTAAGCCATTGCTCAAAGTCTTAGATAGTTTAATGATACTTCACTCAGGAGAAGCTGGTAATGGAGTCATGCTTCCCTGAGACAATTGCCTCCGCTTGGCAAAACAGTAGATTTCTTTTTTCCCCTGAAAGCAGCACACATAAAACATAAAGAAAAGGTGTCATAGCACCTGTTGCAGCTCTGTAGCTCTTTTCCAGAAAACAAATAGCTGATAAAGGTGCCTTAGCTCTCTGAGAAATGCATTCTTAATGGTATCATGTCCCCTTTTCTCCTGCTTCTTCCCTAGAAAATAGTAATGTAACATAATAGAAAATAAGGGACAAAGGGAAACATACACAGAAACAAGAAAAAGAGGGATTGAATAYGCACTAAGGTACCTGGAAATTGTACAAAGGTTCCTGGAAAATATGGAGGTCTCTTATGGACTAGAATTAGGATCCAAGCAGGACCGGGGTGTGATGGTAGCCGTGTGTGCTGTGTTCTGCAATGACCTCAAGCCTTTGCCCAACTCCAGCACCACCGAGGCTGCACACACCAGGGGAAGCTTTGGTCTATCCCCAAAGTAGAAGGAGAGAGAGACTTCCCTCCCTAAGCATTAATGATTCCCATCTTTCTGGAAGGAAAGGTGGCCGTGGGAAGGCGCAGCCCAGCTGCTTCCCTCCGCAGCGCTGACCAAGGGGACACGGCCCGAGCGGCTGCTCGTGCGCGCGGGTGCCTTTGATCCGGCTGCCCGGCCTGCCCTGCGCTCCGCTAATGCCCTCCTGGCCGCAGCCCAGGAGGCAGCGTCGGCGACAGCCGGCCCGTAATGGGATTGCGCAGCGGGGAGAAGGACCCGCCTGCGCGCGGCAGAGGCGGCGGCGCCCGCGTGCCCCAGCGCCGCGTGCGACGCCGCGCACGGCCGCGGGCGATGCGGCGGGACGCAGAGCCGCGGGGGAGCGCCGGGGGCTGCACCTGAATCCCCGTGCCGTGCCGGTACGTACCCCTCCCTGCGTTTGCGGGGCTCCCCGCAGGGCCCCTTTTCCGGGTGACAGGCTGCAGTGACGTAGGGCCACAAATCTGCTTAGGGGAGGGAAGAGCTCYGTTGGAAGTGATCGCAGACCGGAGGGCTTCTGAATCAACTGTGTATGTTGTGGCTTGTTGGATCTCAGCCACCCCCGGAGCCTCAGAAAAAAGGGCCGCTTTGACATAAACGTGTGCCTGGCAGCTGGCACTCAGGGATGCAGCAGTGACACGGCCACGCTGAATTATCAGGGAAGGAAACAGCAGAGGTAGTACCACGTGCTAATTAAACCCTTTGATCCTGACACCAATCTCTTAATTAAGAGTCTGTCAGGAAGAGGCAGTTTTGTTAACATGTCTGTCCAGACAGACCTGTCACTCTCCTCTGCAGCACGATTAAATTCCCCTGGATTACATGATTTTAATTGGCCGCATTACCTTACTTTTAATTGGCCTTATCCACCTTAATACAAATAACTGGGTGCCTTATTGCCCCTAATCACAATCCAGATGTGCCCTTCGGAGCCGCGTGCCAAGCAGCATCCTCAGGAGYGGAGCCGCTCACTCCTGGTGTCCTTGCCACAGCGCAAGCCCGGCTCCCGCGCTGCGCACGCACTGCTGCCCCTGCTCTGCTAGCGCCGGGCGCTTTACCAAGCCTCTGGGCTCCTTCTGCTCCGTCTGAGGAGTCTGTGCGTCCTCAGCCCTTCCTTTCCGGCTCTTGGGCATGTCCACAGGTGGAAATTCCCATCCCAGATTACAGTGGCTTCCAGGGAGCTTTCATACCCGCTGCTTATATATGAGTTAGTACAGAAATAGTGTAACACTCCCACTGGGCCACAGCCATGAATGKTAAAAGTGTTGTTGTTTTACAAGGAGACTCTCTGCCCCAAACAAACTCTGTGTGGAATTTCTGCAGGTGTGTTCCGTTCGTTTGTGTTTATGGTATATCTAATAAAATCCATGCCACTTGAGAAGAATTTGTTAAAAACATGAACAATATAAACTTCTTCCAAAAATTGTTGTATCCAAAATGAAAGCCTGGTAAAGAACTGGTTTGCAACAAAGTCCTTGAGTATGAGTGATTTGCACAATTAGGACATTTGCTGCCTTATGTTTTTATGTATCTCTCTTTGTGCACTAGTATATTCCTCTCTGCTATTAAATTTAAACAAAGATCTCAGGTAAGGAGGGTAATATTAAAACATAAATATGCAAGGTGAATAAACAGCATAGGTTTGAATTCCTGCCTCTGACTGGGCGTGCAACTACAGGAGGAGCCCCAGAAGTCCGTGCCTCAGACCCCAAGKCTTTTGCTATCGTTCTCATTCTACAGTGTAGCTAAAAGGAATCTGGGAAGTAAGAAAATAAGAGTTAAGATATTAGATGTATAGGGACATGTTCATAATTGTACATTTTTATTTAAATGCTTAATAAAGGGCATGCAGAATAGTATCTAGTAAGGCAAGTGTCTTGCTCCATACAATATCTGCTGCTAAACACATAAACGAAGGTTATACATTTAGGTTAAGGTAGATGGAAAAAAAAACAACCCCTTTTCTCTGATATTTTGGCTGGCAATTAGAGGACGAAATGTCCCTAACTCTGGGGTTCCTGCTCGGGCTGGCAAAACCTTTGTACCTGCCTCACTACAGGTATCCTGTAGCTGTGTTTCTTTCCCCGAATGGCTGATAATAAACTTGTTGTAACCAGAGAGGAGGAAGCTCTTGGCCAGTCCATCCTCCTTCGTGGTAAAGGCAGCTAACACRCACCCAGATGGCAGAACACAGGACCAGTGTTTGTTAGGAAGCAAATTTGAGCTGACAAAACCAGGAGGCTTTATACAAATGGGTCAGGAGGCCTGGTGCCCTTGGGTGGTTGCCTGAGGGCTGACTCCAGTTGAATGCAATGAGTTTGTTTTGCCTTGAGCTCTGGGTGCTGTGGAGCACAGGTCCCACGGGCCACACATGGATGTGCATTTTAAAGCCTTGCAGGGAGATCTGTGCAAAACCAAGAGGAGCAAGGGTCCRATTTTTTCTTATCTAACGGGGTCACTCGGAGAGAACCACAGGGAAGTTAGTGCTGGTGGAGTGGTGTAAGATGAGGTGCTGAAGGGTTTCATTTCTGAAGTGCTTATCAGAAACCCRGAAGGATTCAGACACAGTGGAGGGATTGAAGTTTAAGGTTCAGGCAGGAATTGGCCTCCCTGCTTACTGGAATGCCAGGCTTGGAAATGACATATGCACCGAACTGGGAGCAAAGTCCTGTAATAAATAACCGTGCTTCAGTCACTTCCTCCTCGGCACAGCAGAGACCTGGCTCTTRGAGCGAGAGCCCTCCATGGCACCCGCTCCAACTTCACCTGCCTTTTCCTTCCTGCTCATACTCTTGTGAAAACAGAGGGGAGTCAGCTGCACAAGCCAGACACTGAGGATTTCTTCTGGACAGGTAATTTCCCATCCTGCAGGATATAAACTGGTTTACAGTACTGCATTTGGGGAGAAAGAAAAGCGGCAAGAGGAAGACAGGCGTTGTCCCACGGAGCTGTTCAGGCAGGAGGAGAGTGGTTGGCCCTTTATTGCTTTCCTAGGAACAGGCATTTTCACTGTTGAATTTGTGTATCCTGGGATTTTAAGGGATCTCCTYACTGCATGTCCATTCTTGGTCAATGCCATAGACTGGAGCTCTAGCCGTGCCCTSGGTCAGTGCGCCGGTTTCCTGGCACTTGTACTGCTTTGTTCTGGGGAGGCATTTCTGCCGTAGTGCAGTATTCCCATCTCCATCTCGTGTCAGAWGAGAGCAGGACCCAGCTTTGGCCCACATTTGCTTCTACTGCTTTGAACTGCTTGTAGTTACAGGTCATGTAGTTACCACATCCTTGAGGTTAACAGGCAGGCAGAGAGCTCACGAGTCTTGAAAACGGACGTGAGGACACGGCCATAACAGCTTTAGAAGGTCCTTCCTCAGATATTGTACAAAAAGAAAAGACAAGCAGTAAGAAGGAAGACATTCATGATGCGTTGCTCGATTCTCCTAGATGTTGTGCCGCGTTTGCCTTAGTTATAGATGAGCTCTGGAGGCTGCCTTAGTCTTGCAGGTGTGTTTGTAATAATACACCTTGCCCTGCTGTGCTGCCTGCACAGCACCCRCAGTTGCTCCGTGTGCCACGTCTTGTTGCTGAGCTCTGTGCTCCACTTCTCCACTGACTGGGTCAGTTACATGAAAATGGCATTTAAAATTCCTGTTTATAAATGCGTGTGAGCATTRGACTTCTACAGCAGCAGCATCTGCCATCTCTGATTATTTGATTAAAATTGATTATTTTTAGCATGTTTTATGACTCTTCTAAAGTGGTTAATCATTCTGAGCTTGTTTTAAACAACATATTACATCCATGCTGCTGTATAGCCCTTTATAGCCGTGTAAGGGAGGGCTCAACGATCATATGGCTGTTTTTTTCCTCTGAAGTCAAATACTTCCTAGTTACCCTGTTTGCTGCCTAAACCTCCTTATGTTTAGTACTGTTTGAGATACTGCATGCAGTGGCAGTATCTCACACAAAGGAAAATAATTGTTGTCTCCATTTACTGAGAAGAAAAGGTGGCTCGTGCAGAAATTAATTGTATATAAGCCCTCCATTTATGAAAGCTATGTTAACTTTCCCAGATCACATGGGTAAAAACACTGTAGGAGGCTATAGGTAAGGAAATGATAAAATGAGCCTTAAATCTCTCACTGCAAAGTTTCCTTCCAACACAGAAGACTGACATTTATTAAAACACCAAGACAGGAGTGTATCCCCAAACATCACTTTTTCTTTTTTTTAATGGTGATATTCAATTTTCAAGAGCGTATACTCCATGTACTCCAAAAAGTAGTAATTTGAAACACTGTTTTCTAAACCTTAGGAACTTGTACAACTCAATCATAAAACAGAGAGAAACRGAAAGATATCTAAGTATCTCTCAAGAAGAGAAATTATTAAATGAATAACATGATTCATTAAGAAAAATAATGATATCTAGGTATCTCTCAAGGATATAGAACATCCATATTACCTAGAATTATAGTAGTATCATAAATTTAACTTTAAGATATCAAACCCTTTTCTCATGATAAAGGAAAGAAGTCTCAAGGGTTTTGGTGAAACCTAGGAAAGCCCCCAGCAATCCCTAAGGTTAATGGTTCCTCAACCTGGGATCCCCGGATCATCTGCATAGGACAGGCAGAATGGGGCACTGAAAACCTGGTTAA